TGATGATCGGTGACCTGTCAGTGATTTGTTTCATTTTATCTACTTTTGTCTTAAAGGTAGTAACGTTTATTTAAACCACAACTGATCTAAAAAAAATCTAATAACTATAAAACTGTTTTCTTAGCTCACAAATTTAATTTTTTTTAAATAAAACAAACATTTTAATTAGCTTACAGAAGCACAGTCACAAGTAAATCTGAAGTGATTATTCCTGCCCTTAGAGAAAGACTGTCTCTTTGTGCTCTGTCAAAAGGTCAATTATGGCCCCAAACCGGCATGCAGTGACAGTGACCTGGAAGCGCTACTGATGACCCCACATCCAGGGGCCCAAAAGAGTTGATCATCTAACATGCAGGCTGCCCGGAGCCATGGAAATCTGACATTTGTCCTTATTCAAATGAACACAAACAATATGCATCTCATGCCTCTCCCTAACCTGTGCCAAATCTTAAGCATAGGGACCAGCAGTCTTAAAGCATTGTCCTCCAGTCCGAGTCCGTGCCCTTCCCTGTAAATCTACAGCCACACAACAGTTGGACATAGATCCTCCAGTAAGAGCAGGCTGCACAAAGGCGCCATCTTCACCAGCATCTACACTAACACTGGTCATTATAGTATATAGCACTGGAGTCACAAATGAAGAAGAGGCTCTATAGTAAAGGAACATAATAAAAGATATAAGTGAACTGTAAATTCAGATGTGGCAGATTAAGATCAACTTTGTCCATACTTTTCATGCTGATGCTGTCATTGGGAGATCTAAAATCTGAACTCTTAAAATGAATACAATGGATATTTTCATAATAACAATAGATCAAATGTGAAAGAGATTGATCATAGTGATGGTTTCGTAGTTACCATCCAATGCTGCAGATGCGCTCAGCTCAGTGGAACTTTATCTTTCAGTTTGGGTCTTTTTGGTCCATGGTGTGATTGTTTTGGTTCATTCTCACCACTTCTCACAGCAGACAAGTGTATTCAGCTAAAAACTTTAAAAATCTACCCTACACTACCTGTCCAACATCAAACAGCAGACAGACACAGATAGCGACTGGTTAACAAACATAATGGAGCCTTTAACAGCTGAAGAGCCTGATATTTTCTTAGGTATGAGTCCAAAAACAAAGCTCAGTATTTAAAATCTGACTTAATTTCTTCAGGCAGACACAAACATGATTCAAGAAATGCTGGTCCACGTCTGCTCGATGTGTATTTAGCCAAAGTTTTGCTAACAAATTCACCATATTACCTTAAATGGTGTTGTATGCCAGTGTTTTTTTGGCAACAAATTTCATGGAAAAAAAAAAACAAAACCAACAATCTAGTGGCGCATCTCAGTACTTTCCAATCTCCCTAACCAGTCTATCACTCCTAGTGAGGATGTCAAGCTTAAAAAAGGTTCAAAAAGATATGCTTTGACAATTCTAAGTAATTTCCTAAAATATCAGGTTAGTAAAATATGGCCAGTATCTTTATCCATAGCTTTTCCTACACAAGCCCAACACGAGCCTGTTTACTACATGGGAGTTAAAAGCTTTGCAAAAACACCTCTATAAGAAGGTTATTGCTGTAACACCGGTGTATACACAGTAAATTCCCCCTCAATGGCACTTGCCCGAAGCAACACCTACCACAGTAAATGTTTATCCATGTGGACTTCCCATCTTATACTGTTTTGTCTGTGTGTGCAGAAGGTAGAGGCCTGGCCTGGAACTGTGTGGCACAGTGCAGGGGCTCTCATGTCTTCAGGGCGTTCCACAGAGCATGATCAAGAAAAGCAGAAACATGAAGAAAACTGCAAAAGGTTGAGCCATGGAAACGTCTTTCTTCTGCACGTCAGTTAATTTCCTCTTTTTCCCTTTGGTTCCACATCACTTTTCTATTATGTTTTGAACACAGTGAAAATGTAATACAAATCATGCTGCTGGTAAAAAAAAAAATCTAATCATTACACCCTCAAATGAAAAAATGGATACCAGTGAAAAATGTAAGGGAATTGTTATTTTTCACATTCTAATTCACATCACAAGGAACCAAAAAGAAACACATGCTGTATATCAGATTGGTTTGGTGCCTTTTGCCCCAAGCCATGCAGCACACACTGATATTAGTTTTAAATACAGATTGCTGGCAATAATAGAACAGAAGAGTCCATGCCTGCCACATAGGCCCAGTCTGGAGTGCTTCACGTTGCCGGCTTGCCAAGACAGCTTCAATCAAAAAGCTCAAATAAATGTAGTTCTTTGGGTTCTGTCAACTGTAAACTGTTATTGATCCCAACAAATGAAATTTGTTCACGTTGATCGATCAAACACATTATCTGTGTTTTCCAGTCTATTACCGGCAAGTGGAAATTCAGGAGGCATCAATAAATAGAGTTGGGTCACCCTGGGTAGATTCCTTTCAAGCTGGAAGGCTGTAAAAACAGGCGACCAAACATAAGTACTTGTACTTAAAGGTAATGGACCTGCATCATGACTAAACACTAAGTGCCTGGGGTGTCTAGATGTGGAAAGCACTTCTGTAGTACCTTCAAGGTCTAGAGACACTTGAGCATGTACTGTATACTTGCCCTCCTCTCTTCTGCCCCTGCTAATACCCCCCCACCCCCACCCACCTAATGCACACCAACATAGGAAAGCCTTCCAGCTGGCACCCTACGCCTGTACTTGGCAGGTCGGAGGGAGCATGAGAATTAAACCTATATCGCCCCAGCTACCAGTTCTCAAATATCAGTGGAGTCCAGCACTTCACTGGGGACTGGTGAGAGGAAAGCATGTCAATGGAACAAAAAGCTCCTTCTGGCACTACTCCACTCAACTGTTCTGCTCACTGCTATTACAGGAGTGAAGTTTTCATGTGGAAGTGGGTACAAATGCTCCTGTGAAGGAGGGATCCATCCGAATGTTCTGCCGAATTGTAAGTCTCTGTGAAGAGAAATACAGGGAGCTAGATCTGCACTCTTCTTCACTCCTGCATGCTAACAGATACATTCATTATTAGGTACGTTTAGCTGACACATACTGTATGGTCTAATGCAACAGGTCTACAACATTGTGAAGGTTGTAGTGTTTTGTTTTTGCTTAAACTCTTTCAGAGGCCTTGAGTCAACTTTTTGGCATTTTGGAAGGTTGTGTGTTGCAATGTACTGTGTTAATATAAACACAAAATATTAGAAACACCTCACAGAGTAATAAAAGTGTACTAAAATGGTAACTAAACACAGGTTGTACTCTTACATGGGATCTAAAGGCACATTTCCTCAGAAAAAAATGACTTCTTTAACCCTAAAATTACATGTATTTATGTTTTATTAGTTTACTTTAGTACAGTTAGTTACGGTTAGTATTTATGTTTTATTAGTTTACTTTAGCTAAGGTCGGTACACATCCACTTGATACTGCACTGCAACAGGAGCTGTATCAGATCAGGATAACATCAGGCAACTTATTTGTCTTGTTCAACAGCTAGTTTATTACATAAATAAATCAAATAACCTGCAACTTTGCAACTCTCCCTCTGTCTTTGCACAGTTCTTCAAACTATAGGAGGGTGACAGCTTGTCCACAAACCAAGGGCAGCTGAAATAGGAACATCCACCCCTCTACAGTGATAGAGCAGCTCTGATGGCTTCTTTATTATGGAAAATTATTTTAAACAGCATAAAACGGCACAGGCTCATTTTTTCCATGTTTCTGCCACTATCACTCCAGCTATTGATAAGATGTCTAAATTTATTGCAGAATAATTCTGCAGGAAAAGAGATAAAAGGTTGCTGAATAAAATATGAGGCAAAGGCTGTAAATTGTAGCAATGCATATCATTTCATTCAAATGTAGGACGCAATTACCATCTGCTACACTCATCAGTCCCCTCCTTTATGACTTAATTATATGTTTAATGCTATCAGATCAAGGAAAGGGCAAAATAGATGAATGAGAAAGAAAGAGAAAAGATTCTGCAACAAGACAAAAGGCAGATGAAAAGTAACATAAAAGGAGGAAACTGATTTCATTCACCAGGAAATAGAAAAAGTTAATTTAGATACAACATTCCCTCATCTCCTGCACCTTTGTAAGATAATAAACCCGGCGTGTTGCCAATAGGTCTCATACTAGTCAAACAAAAGAAGTCAAGTTCCTCAAAACTGAAAGTCTTCTTGCATTCCTTTTGGGAGAACAAGTCGCTGATTGTTGAGTCCAGCAGAGGTGAGTCATAGAAAGCTACAGCATGTAACAATGAGGATCACTTCCACCTGTTTTCTAATTTATTTGATTTGAAGATATATGCCATTTTCAGTGATTTATAGACACCTGCAGTATTCTATTTACTCTTTTCTTTTGTATTTTATCATGATTAAGCCCACTATTTTGCTTTGTGAAACAAAGTGTATTCTGATGTATTCTATTGCCAGAGTTAAATAAAATTTCACAATCCTAAAACTTTTTGTTTGGATGCAAATCATGTACAGCAGCGTTCACAAAGAAAACTGGGGTTGTCCAAATGGCTGTGGGGTAAAGAGCTAGCCAGTGGGCATCCCAGGTGCCAGCAGGCACTGTCCTAACTGTGTACCTTTGGCCAGAACTCATTATGGGGTGACATTTAGGTCTGCTGCTGCCCATGCCAAGTCAGCCCTCTGGATTGAGACAAATTATGTAGTTATTTTTTATGTCAGACATTAAGTCATGTCCAGTGGGAGCCAAATCCGTGTCACCTTCACGTCACCTAGAAAAAAAAATTATTTTAACGGCTGTGGACTTCTTAAACAGGGCCGGTATCCGGCTCATTTGATGTAATATTCTGATGTTTCAAAGCAAGATTGAAGGGAATTACATCCCGATTTAATTCAAACTTTTAATCAGTTATTATGTAATGTAAGCACTCTTTCGACACACAAACATATGCATGCTGCCACAGTACTGTTAAGCTGTTTCTATCCCCTTTCTTTTCGTGGGGATCCTGACATTCAAGAGACTGTAAAAGAAAATAGAATTTCCTACCTGTATGCTGCAGAAAAGGTGATGGTTCTCCTTACTCTGTGGGGGTTATTTATTCAAGCCTGAACAAAAGAAGATGAACAGAATTACTGAAGAAAATAGCTCAGAATTTGCACAAGATTTTATAGTACCAAATAAAAACACACATCACGAGAGCTGGATGCTGTGATACAAAACAAAACACCTGTACCTGTCATGTCACTGATCATACTTTTTATGACCATAAATTTCCAAAAATGTGCGTTAAAATGAAATAACATTGATTGTCAATACTTCATAATCTTTATTTTGTATAGAATTATATATATATTGCACAGGGAGTAAAACAATATGAATCCTTGTTGCAGATTCTTCCAGATAGCCAGGAGAACTGTCATCCCAGCAGACAGCGCACAACATAAACAGAACTAAAGCGCCATCTTGTGGACGAAGGCAAGTACAACTTGAGAGCTTCCTGGGTTTTCCATTTACAGGTGTGGCAACAGAAAGGCTCCCTTAAAAACCCTTTCAGTGATAAAAGGTATAAGATACTGTAAGTCTCCAGACAAAAACAAGGCATTCTTATGTTATGTGTTTAAGAAAGTGCAAAATCTGCAGTGAATCAATCAACATTATGGTTAAAAAAAATCCCATGAATACATCAAGCAGAGGACATAAGTGGCTAAACAGATTAAACACTTCGGAAATGGTCCCTAAGTGGGAGTCCACACTAGCTTGCAGGTATCTCACAAAGCATGAAATGAATCCAAGTTGTTTATCTGCTTTATATTATTGGGCAAATTATATATAATTGCTCATTTGATGTATTCAGAGGAAAGCATTCACTTGATGCATATGCTGTGGATATTTTGCACACAAACTTCAAGACGTAACAAAGAGAAAAAATGGGATGCAATTGATTATAAGTTAATTGTGCAAAGGTCTCCCTGATGGGAACCATCTGTCAAAACAAGCTGTACATTCACTAATTCCAATCATAATTAATTAAATGGATAACGAATTACATACATCATAGTTAGTACAGGGAGGGAATCTACTGCAGGAACTGTTATGAAACAAATTAGCTTTTACAATGAAAGAAAATTACATCACATAACTAAATATTATACTCATTTCCACAAGCCATATTTCTTAATGAATTCTCTAATTAATTTAATTCACACAATGTGCATAATTTGGAGCTGAAAATGTCAGTGGGTCAGACTTAACCATATTGTTGCTGGCTGTCTATTTCAACAAGAGCCATATTATGACAACATGACCTCTATGTAAATTACACAGGCCAACTGTTGTAATTTTAATTCCAGGGTCTAATTAACATGTTGTAAAGATATCATACAAGTACATTTAAATCATTTTACATATTCCAGTGTCATTGCAAGATTTCTATATGTGTTAATGTGGTGTAATCTTTTTGATGGGATACTCTGTGATAGGTTCTGTTACAGATTATGACAAAAAGACGATTAATTTTCATGCTTGCTGGATTAAGTGCTGAATTTTTCTTCTCAGAGTAAATCCTACCTCTCTCACAATTCACGGACTACATCTGCTGTAAGCATGACGGACATGACACCTCAACTCATTCAGAAAGCACATACATGACCATTGCTAGAGTATTTCGAACAAAGAAGGGCATTTTAGATCATCCCAGTCATTCATTCTATTATACACTCTCAGAAAATTGTCCTTAAACTGCCTTTATATTTGCTTGGAAAATTATTTAAGTGATAAATCAATTGTAAAAAATTGTTGCTAACTAATAATTTAATTTAGTTCTACTTTGTACATGCAAGAGCAGCACAGACACCTGTATGTTTCCACACTTCAGGTAATGCCACTGCAAATGAAACTTTATACACTGGTGATCGACTTTCACTTACTCCGTCACCTCTGCTGTGCTAGTGTCTGGCCTGATCCTATTCCTTATCAGTTTAGCGCAAACCCAATCAAATTTACCAAGTGATAGCACCATCGAGAGTGAATGCAGAAACGGTTGAATAAATGAATAAATTGCCCAGGGGATGGAACATATAAGTTAACACATGCATTGCAGGGCTCGGGGGCTATCCTGAGGCCAATCATTTTGCTAATACACTAATGAAAGCTTGTGTAGTGTGGCTAAGGGCAGCCACCATGGGAGGTACCACTCCCCTCCCTCCTTGTGTTGGGGACTGTTAATAGGCTGGACTGAGCCAACAGGACTCCCAGGAGAGGCCTGCTGATGAAGAGGAAAACCTGTCGTTGCCTTCACTAATCACTGCCTAATGGCTGCAGTAACAGAGGTTTTACAAATGTGACTGTGCATATGTGCACTGTGTGCGAGAAGTACTTTAGGTTTTAAAATAACGGTATACACTCACCGGCCACTTTGTTAGGTACACCCATATGCAGTTCAGTTCAGAGGTGTCTCTGTATTTTTGTCCCCCCAAGCTACATACATGAGAGGGTCAGAATATTAATCATCATTTAGTCAAATGACATAAAAGGTACCTAGAGAATTTTCCAGGACTAAAACTATTAGTGATTTGAGTTATGTTTCAAGCAAAATGCCAACTACTTTTTGAGTCTATCTCATCCAGTGTGAGGATTTTCTCTTTTTCTGTTACTAGTCCTATATCATTGTAAAGTGAATATCATGGTGTCACTGCCAACTCAGAAGTTGGATTTTTCATGCAACTCCCCAGTTATGAGAATTTGTCACCTTATAGCTCTGTTTAATAAATTACAGGATTACACGATTTAACTGAACAGGCTCCTCTTGGTTACATTTTTATCCAAGATGTAATAAAGCCATCACTGTGGGCTCTCAGCTAACATGTAATGTGTAACTAATGTGTAACTAAGTGTAGCCATTTGAGATGACTGCCTGTTAATCCCCTGAACCCGCTGCCCTTTGTCTATGTGGTTCTTGTACTCACTGTTGAATACAAGATGTTCAAAGGCAGCACACGAACACTCCGCATTATTCACAGTTGTAAAACAGGTCTTGCGGCTTGTTAATCTCGTAAAACGTCACTTAGACGTTAAGGTGTCAGAGTAGCTTTTCTTAACAAAAAATCCAAACAAAGAACGAACAGTAATTTAAGCTCATTCCAGCCACTGTCAAGTTATATATACCTGACTACATATACTGCAATTTTGCTCCGGTTAAAGTGAGCAGTGGTTATACTTTGATGACGTAAACGTAAAGTTGTAAAACTGCGGAGTTAGAAATTGCTTCCGGTTAAGACCTACAAAGTAAAGTTCCCATTAAAAGGTGCTGTAATAATTGAGCTTCATATTTTTTGCTCGCTCTTATTTTTACGTGACAACAATGACAACAAAATGACCAAAAGAGGTGCAAAACAACCACAAAGAGACGGAAAATGATCAAAAAGAGCGACAACATGACCAAAAGGTGATGGAAAGCGACCACAAAGAAAAACAAAACGACTAAAAGGAGACATAAGACGACCAAAGAGAGACAAACATCAAACTTTCCGTGTCCCGGGGCCTGTCACTTTCAATCCATGCATCAGGACCATTTAATAACAGTTCTATTTTAAACTGAAACCTCCAGATCAGCTATTTTATGGCCTTTTTATTGAGACTGTTTTCCCCAAATGATGTAAAAACTTACCAAGAAGTGTTTAAATGTACTTAAACTATTAAATTCAACGCTTTAGATTTGTCATTCCTCGTCTGCCTCACACATAAATTAACCGACGTTACAAACCCTGTCTCTGAATGTCTTAGTTTGAAAAACAAACACCAAACTTCCTGCACGCTTCCTGCTTTCTCCGGCTTGGCAGATAAACTTTCTGCCAGTCTGAGTTGACTGACAGTTTGGAAGTTAGGTGCTACGCGTTCCCAGTCATTCTTCTGTCGTGGAGACTCAGCTAAAAAAAAAAAAAGAAGCGATAACTATAGCAAAGTTCCTTTTCATGAGGAGAAGTTGGTGATTTTTCCAGAACAAACATGATGTCTCCAGGTGAATGGACAGGACCGAAGCGACACGGTATGAAAAAGTAGCATTACACTGTATTTTAGCGCTGGACTACGGGTGACAACTCTGTCTGCCGTTGTTACTATGCCACGCAGGCAGCTAACTTCTACAAAAACAAGAAAACTTTGCCTACAAATCAAAAGTGTTCCGCGCAGTGTGACATATTATTTTTTCTACGTGGATTTCCTCATTGTAAACCAGAAAAATAATGACTTTTTGTAGATACTTGAGGGGGAGTGGGAGGGTACTCGCCATTGTGTTCGTTGCCTCAGTCATTTGGCTTATGTTTGACATTGCTGCACTGCGCATGTCACTAAACGATGTGCACACTGAGTTGCTGAAAGAGCGATTAATGAGACAGAGAGAAGTTTTTGAACAGAAGTCCAGGGTGACAGAATTCATGACAAGGATGTTTAAACACCCAGTGCAGAAGGTCGACTCGGCTGTAAACCATGCGGGCGAAGCAGCTCTTGGTTCACGCATCAAACTGTTCAAAGCGTACAGACGAGGAGACAGGAGACTGGACCAAAGGTTAGCGGACAAAAAGGTGCATTCTTTTGAGTTTGAACAACAAGAAGGAGCTGCCCTGCAAAATGTCACTTCAAAGCAGGGTGTTACTGCAGAGAAAAATGCTGTAAAGCTGGATATAAATAGGCCAGAATTAGAACATACTAGACTAACGCGTGTCTTATATACAGGAGAGTCTATTAAAACCCAGGTGTCAGATGATGCTCAGAAAAACAAACATAGCCAAATATCAGAGATGGTGCACAGTCAAGATGGCAATAAAGCACAAGAATCTGTTGTAAAATCAGATTTATCAACTAACAAAAACATCGGTGATGAACCTAAGACCAAGGCTGAAATAAAATTGAGTGAGGTTGATGAGGAACGTCCAGTTAAACCTCCCATTGAGGATGTACAAGAAGAGGTAAACATTATCGAATTGAAGGAACAGGTGAGGATGGTCGACAAGAGAAATCTAAATCCAGTGAACGAACCCACAAATTCTACCAAGCTTCTAGCAGGAGAGAAATCGGACGATAATCTCACTGCTGTCAGAAATCCCAGTGTCCACAAAGTGCTCGCTGTGGACTTGACTCTCGCTCCCAGAAATCCTAATGCGGTGGGCCAGTTTGGTTGGGCAGCATTACTTTCTAGTAATGAAGATACAGAGGTGAAGAGGAGATGGAACGAAGGGTATTTTAATGTCTACCTGAGTGACCGGATCCCATTGGACCGCGCCATCCCAGACACCAGGCCTGAGATGTGAGTCTCCTTTTCCACACAGTTCACCTCTAAAACCTCTTTGACTGCAAAGCTGAATCGTCCTTTTGGTCGTGTGTTTCAGGTGTGCGCAGAATCTGGTCCACGATGACTTGCCTTCCACCAGTGTGATTTTCTGCTTCGTAGATGAAGTGTGGTCCACGCTCCTTCGCTCTGTGCACAGTGTACTCAACAGATCCCCACCACACCTCATCAAAGAGGTTATTCTGGTGGATGATTTCAGCACCAAAGGTAAATAGTGTCCCGAATGCTTCATGGGTACCTAGACCTAAGAAACTGCCAAAACCAGAACACTGTCATTAATGACAAAAGAGGGCACTGGGCATTTATTACTAGAAGCAAGTTGTTCCTTCTGGCTAGTCTCCAGTACCCACTGTGCCAAAGAACATCACATTTACTTGCATTATTATGCTCAGTTTTAATACAAGAATTTGTTTATAGCCTAAAATGGGTATTCAAACTAATATATACAAGGTAATACATTGATAATTATTAGGGATGTAACTGTACCACAACCTCTCACTACGACATTGCTACTATAAAAAGTGCACGATACGATATTTCTCACTATATCAAAAAAATTGACAAAAAAAGATTAAAATACCCCTCACTAAATAGACCCTCAGCAGGTTTTTTCTGGTTAAAGTCGTGTCCCGACTGTTTCAGCGAGATGCATCCCGGTTTGTCTCAGTCCTACATGAGGCTGGCAATGCCTCCACCTGACAGTATTTGCAAATTGTTCAAGGTTTATCAGTTTCCTTTACGCCTGAAAACTGAAAAGCTGTCGCACAACCTCTCTGAGTCCACTATGTCAGTTTCAATTTATGTGACCAGCACCCAGTTATACTAATGAAATACCTGTATGTAGATATCGTCATAGTCATTATCGAGACATTTTTTTATCGTGATATTGTGAAATTACAAATATCGTTACATCCCTAATATTTATAGTTGGCCTAATGAAAAGACCTCGCTCGTTTGGCACAGTTTTGAAGCTTATTCTCCAAAATGTTCACTGTCCTCATCACTCTCTTAGTTTTTACATTAGGTTATAAACATTGTGTCATAAATTTTGCACAATTTGTTTCTTAGATTTATGTTGTGTATATTATAGTTTCAACTGATTAATGTGCCAAGTATTTTCCTAATGTGTAGTGTATAAAATGTAGAGTAATGTCCATCACAGTTTCACAGACCCTGTGGGAATGTCTTCAGATTACTGGTTTTGTCCAACCAACAGTCTGTCAGTGAACTAATGGTTAAATCTACAGGTTATTTCAGTGCCCCATAAGGTGCACAGTACAGACTTGATATTAACCCATTATTTGATTCCTGGTAGTTTAAGTTTAGCCCCAGATATCGTAGTGACTATTCAAATTTTTAAGTGCTGCTGGTTTCCTTTTTGATTGACTTTTGTGTGCTATCAGTGTTGTCAGTCATGTGTAGTAATTTATATGCACGAGCTTTACTACTTTCTTGCACTCTGGCAGAATATCTGAAGGAGCCACTGGATGAGTACATGTCCCAGTTTCCCAAAGTGCGAATAGTTCGCATGAAGGAGCGGCAGGGCCTGATCAGGGCCAGGCTAGCTGGAGCTGCTATTGCCCAAGGTAAACACTGCTTGATTGAATAAAGGGATGTGTCCCTCATAAAAGAAAGGTTAAGACAGTAACAGAACTCTCTGTGCGAGTTTTGCAAGATGTCATACTGTAATTTCATACGTGGGTTGTTTTGTTTCTCAAGCAATTAAATGGTATTTGACTTGGCATGGTGCCTTTCAAAAGGACATAGCCGCTCACAGGCCATGTTTTTTTAGTTATTGCATTTTCAGATGAGCTCATCAGACAGGAAGTAGTATGTAAACATATTTGAAATCTAGATTAAAGTATTTACAGATTTTTTAATTTTAAAGAACAGCAATATTTGTAGGTTATATTAACAGTGTAATCTTCACTTTCTGGTTTAGTACATTATGGTTTCAGGTATAGTCATCTTTGTGTCACAGACACAGATAAATTGGTCAGAAGAGAAGAAAATCTGATCCAGCCTTTGTCTTTCAAATCCAAACTGCTCCTGAGTTGATGCATCTACATTTGCACTAATGCGCACATATTACTAGATGTGTACATGAAATAAGACAGACAGTGAAATGTGTGTTATAACTGGCCTTGTAATAATTATGACACTGGAACATCGGAGCAACAGTGAAGCCACATCTGCTCTCTATGTGCTGTTGTGCATATTATTGGCACAGTGTACACCAACAAATCGCCTTTCAAAGAACTGTTTGTTAAGGGATGAGTGTTAAGTGATTATATAGGAATTAAACTCTTTAACAGGATGTTTGCTCTTTCCTCTACTGCAGGTGAGGTCCTTACCTTCCTTGACTCCCACATTGAGTGTAACGTGGGCTGGCTGGAGCCGCTCCTAGAGAGAATCTATCTGGATCGCAAGAAGGTGGCCTGTCCAGTTATTGAAGTCATCAATGAAAAGGACATGAGGTGACTGACAGACCCGACGCCGCACATGGGGCGTGATATCTGTAGTACTGTTGAATGTTGAGTAACAACAAATGATGAAATGTCATTGTGATGTTGGAGCTTCTGTTCTGGCTCTTTATCTTCAGTTATATGCTGGTTGACAACTTCCAACGAGGCATTTTCAAATGGCCCTTGGTATTTGGTTGGGACACATTATCACAAGAGTACATTAAAAGGAATAACATGGCCGTCACAGATCCCATCAGGTACCTAAAATTTGAAACCATACTGTTCCACAGCTCATTGCTTTGACTCTTTTTGTGTATATCTTATCAGTATTTTTGTTTCTTGGCTTAAGGTGATATTTAGTTGTTTTTATTTATTTTACCTTACAGATGTCCAGTTATGGCTGGTGGGCTTTTCTCCATAGATAAGAAGTACTTCTATGAGCTTGGTGCTTATGATTCTGGGCTGGATGTATGGGGTGGGGAGAACATGGAGATTTCTTTTAAGGTTTGTCACTCAGCAGTTCGTGCATCCATGCTGGCTATAGCTGTTTGGAAACTCCACAGAATGTTTCTCACATGCCTCGGTATCTTATCTGACGTCATTCAAACAGATCTGGATGTGCGGAGGAGAAATTGAGATTATTCCCTGCTCTCGAGTGGGACACATCTTCCGAGGACAGAGTCCTTACAAATTCCCCAAAGACAAGCACAAAACAGTGGAGCGGAACCTGGCGAGGGTGGCTGAGGTCTGGCTAGACGAGTACAAGGAGCTTTTCTATGGCCACAGCTACCATCACCTGCTGGATAAAACAGTCATTGACATCGGCAACCTCACCGAACAGATTGAGCTTAGGAACAGGCTCAAATGCAAGAGCTTCAAGTGGTACCTGGACAATGTGTATCCCGATATGCATGCTCCTTTAGTCCAAGCTGAGGGCTTGGTACGTATGTCAGTGTGCTACAGTTTCCTGTGTGTGTGCTTTTTTTCTCTGTCTGTTGCAACTCATCACGCTCTGCATTCAGATTTATTTTATTTTTTATTTTTGTTACTTGTCCATAACTGATCAGTTAAAATTTGAAACTTGTAAACTTACTCCATAAAGCCACTGTTATTTTTTTTTTTTTTTTTTGTCCTTGTAGGTCTTAAATCTTGGCTTAAGAAAATGCCTCAGTCTGCAGGAAGGCTCTCTGTCCTTTGACATGTGTAATCTCAATGAGCAGGTAGGTGTTTTTATTTAATTTAACATATTACTGGTGTTAAGGAAATAATTAACTCAAGAACAGATCTTTCTTTAGTGGTAGTTAATAAATGGAAATAAATAAATGATAAATACATTTCATGAAAGGGCTTAGTGCATTAAGAAAGCAAAAGGTCTCTAAGAGCAAAGTAAAACAAGAGCGCTCCCTACTTAAAGTCTTGCTCTCACATTTATTTAAATAGTTAAGTAAATGAAGCATTGTTATTAACTGATGTACTGGCAAATGTTAATTTTTTTCTCAGTAGATCTGAGTGAGGTATACTCATATTATGTCATTTTGGGCTCATGCCTGTGCTAATTATAGGGGCAAAACACACAAATACACTGGGACAAATGCAGTCAGAGTCCAAGAGAAGACCCGTCCTTTCTAAACGTGGCTGTCTTGCTTCCAAATCCTTCACTTTTCAGAGAGCATAATTACATACTTGTCACTTCTCTCTCTGGTCTTCAGAGTCAGTGCTTTAATTTCACCTGGATGAAGACCATTCGTCAGCAGCAGCTGTGTGTCGCTCCCCAAGATGAGGGAAACGGCCTTGCTTTACAATTATGTGACAACACTAATCCCAAGCTTCGCTGGGATTACAGGTCATCCAGTTCAGCTCTGGTAGGTTGACTCCAGGCGTGCCGTTTGCTTTGTCTGCTGTCGGCGTGTTTGTTTCCTCTGTTGTTTTAGAAATTCTTAATCAGTTAGATCAGCCTGTTTCAGATTCACTAAAAGCAAAAGTTGCTGTCATTTGAAAATAAGCCTAGTTTATCTTATTTATTTATTATTTTATTATTCCTTCTTTTCTCTCTCTCTCTCTCTCTAGTTCTCTTCTCCTCCTCCATCTTTTTCTTTAGCACCAGTCTATAGAGATGAACATAACCACACTTCACACACAAACCACACAGCATTTCCCCACATTCTTCTGTAAATGTAAATGTTTTGTGTCCATGTCTTGTTACGTGCTGTTTTGGTGCAATAAAAAAAAAAAAGAAACTAGGCATAGTAGAATCAAAGTGTTGAGGTTAAAGCGCTGTTTACTGATTATGTTTCCTGTGTTGTCCCTGTGAAGGCTGAGCACATCATAGCAGAGTCTTCTTCTTCCCAGCTCATGTGCCTGGAGGCGGGCTCTCAGGATAACTCTCTTCTCCTCAACCCGTGTGTGTCCAGCAACATCTTCCAAAGGTGGCAGTTCACACAATACCACGCTCAGGGATGAGACTGACATTGAATTTCATGTGTTTATCATGCACTATGGAGGCCTTCAGTGGCCTCGCATTATGGCACGGCCTGTGCTCCAGACTCAGAACACAGGACTGTCCAGAGGAAGCGGGAAACCCTTTGGTGGCAGTAATATGTGTGGTGTAAAGCAGATGGTGTGGGGATGTGTAATGTTCCTAATGTCCTCTTACTGGATCAGTATGAGGTGACCCTGAGTTTAAACAGTTGTGCCAGAGGATGGAGGAGGAAGAGCATCATCATTGTAGACATGTGATTTTAGAAAACACTGACACTTGGGAGAAAGATCACAGAAGTACCTGATGATGTCTGAAAACTGGACCATAAGGTCTAAGAAATAACACTCCATGTGATAAGTTCTTTATCAGCTTATCATTTCACTGCCAACGATTAAAATAGGAAACAGGGCCTCATAGATTTAACACATAAATCTTCCTTGCGCTGCTGGGACTGAATAATGACTTGAGTATATAAAAACCTTTTTTTTTTTTTAAACTGGTGAGACATCTGTTTTTCTAGATGTCATGTACTCTATGTTTGATACAAACAGGTGAAACAGCTGCTTCTCCAGTTTTAAATACTGTATTAATTAGGTGTTTTTTGTAGAAACTGGATGAATTTCTTTTTTTTTACACTAGATGGAACTGTTGGTTCAAAACACCCAATAAACTTGTGTTGGGATTTGATGAGTTTGTCGTCTGTTCTCAAACCCCTTAACCACAATTTGATGGAAATTCTTCAGAAAGCAAAATGAGGACATATCTTTATTTTTAGTAATTATTTACTAGACATTAGGGCATGTAAGTATATATGGCTAAGTTAATCCCCTAGTAGTATGCAGAGGTTTGGATACTGAAGCTGGAATAGAAAACAACATCTTAGATATTATGGATAGTAGGATTATGAAAGCCTGAGCTTCTCTCATGTTTCATCTGTTCAAATACCTGCCCCCCATAACATGTTTTCATGCTAAAGTACATACATCTTAGATGTGTGCTGGTTGTTGTGTGTTCTTCTCCAGTCAGATGCTGCACAACAAAGAGCAGTGGTTAGTGTGACATGGACAGTTACACCACTGCAAGCAGGTGTTGGATCAAATACATTTGTAAAGTATGTAAATCATTCATTCATTTTCTACCGCTTAGTCCCTGAACGGGGTCACGCTGGAGCCAATCCCAGCCGGCAATCGGGCAAAGGCGAGGTACACCCTGGACAGGTCACCAATCCATCGCAGGGCGAACACATAGACGAACAACCACACACACGCACACACTCCTATGGGCAATTTAGAGACACCAATCAACCTAAGCTGCATGTCTTTGGACTGTGGGAGGAAGCCAAAGTACCCGGAGAGAACCCATGCAAGCACGGGGAGAACATGCAAACTCTACACAGAAAGGTCCCGGGTGGGGCCCGAACCCAGAACCTTCTCGCTGTGAGGCAACGGTGCTAACCACTGCACCATTGTAAATCAGTTTTCTTGAATGCTCATTTTCTGTTGGAGGTCACGTCTGGCAGGTTTTTATTAACCCCCTGAAAAAGGTATTGAAACCATCATCTTGCAAATTCTTTATCATGTACTCAAACACCTCGATCTTCTGGCAGGTGTTGCCTCTGTAGATCCTGCGGTAGGACAATGTGCTGTATTTGGATGATGTGAGGTGATCGAAGGATTTCTTCGCCAGGGTGGAGCAGCCTGGTCCGGGCCCGTGATGAAATCCCATAGAAACATGGAAGTTGTGGTCCTGCTCTGGCTCCTGGTCTGCCTCAGGATGCCTGTCACCTGAAGTTCAGCACTAGATTTCTGCTCTGGGACTTTTGCCTCCCCATTTAATAAAGAGTTTAAGGTTTGGTGTCTGATCCTCTAACACTTCTTCCGCCTTTACTTATATATTTGCTGGAAATAAACAGAATAAAGTCTGTTTTGTTCTTTTGTAAACAAACACCTGCCTCCTAAACAATCTACTGTATTTCACTGCACAATAATACTAAAGCTTCTCTTACCTTTGTCCGATGATACCTTCTGCTCAGGCTTTGTTTGCGTGTCTGTGTTTGTTCAGTGCAGTTGCAGACGTCCTCCACTGCTGCTCACTGACTTTTCTGGAGTTAGATGAGCCTCTGCCCCTGGATCTGCACCATCTGACTAATACATAGTTTCAGTTGTTGCTGTCTGGAGCCCTTGACAGTCGTCCTCTATTTCAGTCAGAATGATCTCTAAATTTTCCTCTGCTCCTGGATCATCCTCCTCCTTTGGGATAGATTCTTCAGCTGCTTCACTGTTGACGGGATGCTTGCGCCTTATAGCGCTATTATCAAAAGATGTGTTTACTTCTATGTCCTGATAAGTTTGCTCCTCATCACTGTAGAACACCGAATCATCTCCCTCCTCCATTGACCAGGTGTCTCGTTCCTCAGGCTGCTCCAGGGTCTGTAGGGCCTCAAGAGTCATCTCCAGTACCTGGGATGGCAGTGCTGTGAGCCCCAGGCCCTTCAGAGGTATTGCACTTGTCTCCATCTGTTTTGATGTTGAATAGCTCTGATGCTCTTTGTTTTCTACAGAGCATTTACACAGTCTGCTCCAGGGTCCCAGGTGTGTTAATCAAAATACTTTAGATCCTACATTGTCAACGAGTAAAAAAAAGAATTCTTGCATTTCACTTACCGGGGCAAGGCCAAGTTCTGTAGTGTGCTCCCCAGTGCTAGTACCATGCAAGTCAGTGTGCGTGTTGAATCACTGAAGAACAGGGGTTTTGTTGTGGACCCAACAAAGGTTCTTTGTGATTCTGGCATCTGCATATGGAGGGATTGTCCTCATTCTTTAATCTCTACTGGGTGAACACTGAAACTGGATTAATGTGTTTCCTTCACAGTATGGCTACTGCCTGAACCAGTAATGTTTTGACAAACCTTATGTCTTGACATTTAAGACACCTGAACTGCTGATACAACTTCTGAAAATTCATCACTTTCTGCATGTGGAAAGCAGCTAAGTACATTTATAGGAGTACTGTTCTGTACTTCTGTAATCGACTGTGTCAGTTGTATGTTACTTTGTACATCAACTCAAATACAGTTAATAAGGAATTATTATACGGTTTACATAGATTGTTAAACCAATGTTGTTGTTTCTTTTACAGAAAATGTACTTTATATTTGGGGTTCCTTGCCATGTTTCAGTTCCACTAAAGAGCCGTTTCCTCTCTAAACCTCTCACATGGTTTCATTTATGTCTGAGGTGCAAAGAAGCATAACATTTAGTCAAATAAGCAAAAGATAAGAAAAAATAAATAAATAGGAATCAGTTGCACAGAAGTGATGTTTCTCTCCCATTAATCATCTCACATTCCCTCAAGTTTGAAAGTGAGGGGAAGAAACTACATCACTTAAAATGAATTAAACCTTCCTACAACTGTGTACACATTGCACCTGTCTCTATACAGCATCAATCACAGGGAACATTTTACTGTTGATAGTGCAATTACATTTAGCTGCAAATGCATGTACTTTTACTTAAGATAGAGTTTGAATGCAAGATCTCTGGTATTTTTACTGTAGGAATACAGTGCCAGAAAGCACAGTTTAATTTATGCTAATGTGGTAACTATCTGTCTGTCTCTCTCTCTCTCTCTCGCTCAGCAGCAGCAGGAAACCAAAGTTAAACCTGTTGCCAGAAATGTTTGGTTTCTTTTCTCAGGTACAGTTTAATTTTTGTGATGTGTTGTGCTTTTCCCAAATATAATATTCACATCTGTTTATGAGTAAATTAGCTGTAATACCTGCTTCATCACCAGATAAAGTCTAGTTTACTCTCTAATGTGTAGTACCTTTCCACTTTAAACTTTAAAATGAGAGTGCATTGCTACAGTATCCGGTAACCAAAGGAAAACACTCACAAGTTTATTATTCACAAGTGTATTATTCTGGAAAAGGCTTTTAGCATTCACATAATCATACTGCAAAAGCATGAGTCAAATACAAAGTCTCTAAAATGCTGCATTTTCTTGCTACTCAAGTGAAACATATAAATTGCAGTACATTTAGAATTTACAAGAGATGGTTTCAGTGTTTCTGAACAAAAGTGAGTTGAATGTGGCCTGAGAATAATTTTGGAAATGAAAACAGGTAAGAGCTGTTATGCCCACATCCTGTTTTGAGCTGAGCAGCCATCTACACAGTGTAGCGCTTTGGTTTTGGTTTAGTGCAGATAAACGTGACAGGAGAGGCGTTAAAATGATTCTGACTAACGAATGATAAGATTCATATCATAGATTCAGGTGTATTTTGGGTCACAGTCTATTTCTGAAAGATCAAGATGCTACATGAGTACATGCATTCAGACATTTCTGATTAATGCTAATGATTATGACATACGACACAGGCAAAATTCAGATTTTGTTCAAGTTTGTAGGTGTTCGGCTATTATACATTACAATCTGTTATGCATACATTCATTCAGACACTTTTTCAAAGGAAGATGTTTTTACATTTTCATAATGCTCTTGTGGCCTGAGTTTAAGACAAACAAGGAGCCTTAAAGGCTCCAAGACCCTCTCAGGTAAACTCTGACACTGACAAAAGCAAAGTGCCACACGGTCCATCCTCTCTGTCTCCATAAGAGCACACACTATTATTTATAAGTGTGTGGAACTTTGTCATCGCAGAGTCTGTTTCTTTCTGCAGTCTGTTCAGAGCATGAGAAGCCTTGTTAATCCTTAGCATCAAGTTGATGCAAGGAGCACGTGAACAACAAGTCACTGAGTATTTGTTCCCGTCTCCTCCTCTTCAACTGACCGCTGAAGTCCAGGAATTAACTTGAAGATGTGTTTGCGCACGCTGACACGCCTGCCTTTCCTGGGCAGGGTGCCAAACAAGGAGGAGATCCTTGTTTCCTCCCAAGAAGGAGAGAGGGAGCTGTTGCTCTCACCCATACTGGTGCTGCTGGAGCGGCTCAGGGATTGGTGATGACGGCTGGAGTTTGATGAAACTGTGCCAGAACGGTCCCGTGAAGGAAAATCTGAGGAGAAGAAGCAGCTGCCGTCTGTGGTGCTGACTGCACTGCAGGGACTGGGAGAGCTTGCGTCCCCAAACACACTGTCATCTGTCATCACACTGTAGCTACTGTCACTAGAAAAACGCCGGCCACAGTGGCCTATGGGGGAGCTCAAAGAAGAGTCCATTGAGAGGTGGAGGCTGCTGTCATTCAGGTTACCTGGAAACATAACAACGTCCCGGTTAGTAGCTGCTGACGAGAAGTTTGTGACAGGAAACGACTTCTACTGAATGTTCAATTGTCAGGGGAACTCCTTCGTCTGCATTAACTCAAGTTTACACTTCAATTCACATCATAAATCATGTAGCTTTAGGAAGACGACAAGGACTGTGAGAAAGGAAGTGCTGTGGTCTGACAGCTGAGCGCACTCACCTCGCATTAGACGCTTTTCCTGTAATGTGAGCCCTTGCAGCTCCAGCAGTTTCTCCTTAAGTAACTGCTGTATGGGCAAAAAAACAAACATAATGGTTACACTTTCAGTAAGATATATTAGCTTATCCATTCAGAATATTACATGCACACTCACAGTGTTTGTGTAATGTAGGATTAGCTGACATTTTTGAGTCAAGGCTGTTTCATACAGTGGTGTAGAAATAGGTCAACCTGTAGTTAACTACACTGTGGCAGTTTTGTTCTTCCATTATTAGCAGCTGGGTTTGTGTGGTTCCGTGACTACTTGTAAGCTACTTAATACAACAAAAAAGAGCTACAGTATGTGAACAGCAAACATGGGAAGGATTGAAGAGACACACCTTGAGCAGGTTCATCCTCTTCTCCAGTTCTATCTGCTTCACTACATTGCCACACACAGTCTCCATCCTGGAATCACATAATAAATTCTAATCACACAGGCACTATTATACTGTAAATGCTGTTTTTATTTGCTTATCTTCTGTTGTAATTTGTTGTACCAGTATTTTAGGGAGTTATTGATGCTGTAACTCACTTTAGACTATTGGTTGATTCTCTTATAAGATCAAGGATGTGCTGATGAGATGACCCTTCAATGCTGATGCCATTGATAGTGACAATAACATCTCCTATGATAAAGAAAGATACAAAAAAGGGGAACTAATCAGTTATGAGAAGACAAAATTAATGCGTATAGCACTTGTGCAACAGTGTGTGTGCATATGTCATTAGGTCTGCTGCTTCATATGAAGGCCTGTGTTGGGTCTATAGGGTGGGGAGGATGTGGGTGGTTCACCTGTGGTCAGGCCAGCGTTCTCAGCAGCACTGTCCTCCTGCACCTTGCTCACGAATGTGCACATCTCCACTGCAGATCTGTTCTTTAGCTGCAGGCCATAGGTCTGCAACAAAAGGCAGTGTTGTCATGAAAGCTGCTAAAACAATACCTTTCCAGAAAAAAAGCTTAAACATAATTTGGACACAAGTTTTTTTTTCTCCATTAAGAACCTAAAAAAACATCATAATGTTTATTTTTTAAGGCTTACCTGAATTTCAAAACCAAATGTTTCATTGTCTTGCTTTTCCAGTACAATTGTCGTCCTGTGCAAAATAGAAATTCAGAAAACAAATGTTTCAGGAACTGATTATTATATACCTAACCCTCTTTCAATAATAAAAAAACAAAAAAACCTACTGCAAATACAGATAATATATCAAATGTATAGCAATTTCAATGTAGTATAGATAAAGGACAAACTGATATTTACCTTTGTGGGTCAGAGTAATCAACCAGTGAATTGCTGCGGATTTGTTTGGGCTGCAAAAGGAGAAATGCAGAGTTCCTCTTTAAAACAATAAAATACTGTGGATTTAGATCTTAAATCTCTTTGGAAGTTGGTCAGGGTGCAAACATATTGATTATGTACTGTTACATAACTCAAAAGATTAAAATAGTTTAAAGGCTTTTGGTCAGTTGCTGAGAACAGTTGTATTAAGGCTGCACAGCTGGTGGTAAATCAAGGAACTGGTTTTCATTAAAACCATACTATGTAAGAAAATGTTCAGTTCTAAGCTTAACTTTATACTAGTGTTTCCTAATATTTGACTCAAATTGTAGATGTGTAAGCATTAAATGCTGGCTATACCTTACACTTAAGTTACTGCCTCACCTTGCATACCCTGGGCAGCGAGCTTGTGTTCTGCCGGTGTCGATCACTGTTTCCCCTCAGTGAACGCCGGTACCATAGAGAGCTTTTCTTCTTGTGAGCATTATCCAGAATGTAATTGTCTTGGCTACTCTGGCGTTGAAGTCCATTGAAATTCATGGTGGACTGCTTGGTAGAGTAGTCCTCAAAGCATCATCAAGTCGCGCTGCTGCAGCTTTTTAGAGTTTCTGTGGCCCTGCCCTGCAGCTAAAAGTAAAATGCGTCAAAACGGAAATCCACACCATGTGACAGCTGTGGTGGGCCTGCATTTGCAGCCTCACGTACCTGCTTTCCTGTTCATCTGTTCTTACTTTTTGTTCTCTTTCTTGAGAAGGGCTGGTCTGCCGTTTTGAAAAAAAGGAAGGAGAGATTTTTTTTTTTGCATAAATCCCCTTCAAATAGTCCCTTTTCTTTGTGCAGTCTTGGCAATTTGATTTATGGTCTGTCAGAAATCAATAATTTATGAGAACATGCCACCTCACGCCTCCAATGGTACCTGGTTCCAGCCTCTTTCACCCAGAGTTTCTCAGTGGGATAAGCGTCTGTCTGTGCCTAACTCCTGTGTTCTGCCAAGCAGGGAGACTTGCTTTGTGAGGACAGACAGAAGGCTGATTTAGCCTGGGGCCAGTGTCTCACTCCCCAAACAAACAGCATGGGTCATTGGGCCAAAGGTGTCAGACATGATCAGATAAAGAAAAAAATCACACACATACCAGCGGTCAGGGAGACAATGGCTGATAGGCCAAAGAAAACTTTGACCTTTTCAACTATGACACCCATACCTTCAAAAGGTACAGTACATTTTGTAATCTACAGAAAGAAATATCATCTTTAACCATGCTGCATTACTTTGGAGACAAAAAAAAAAAAGAATCTGGAACAAAACAACTTGTTAACTAAGAGATTGCCTCACAGCAATCCTCTCTGTCCCACTGACCCACAGCAGAGCTGCTGACAAACCGACCTCAGGACTGTCTGGAACACAGATATCCCATTTCACAGGACAGTACAAATCCCAGTCCACATTTTTGTTTCTTTGTGCATGAAAAAGTCTTAGTTATGATCACTTCAGTTAGAAGTACAAATCCCAGTCCACATTTTTGTTTGTTTGTGCATGAAAAAGTCTTAGTTAACCCCACATACTCTGAAGGAAAAGGCATTTGGGTGCACTCTCATCAGCGCTTTTGTAATGTGTCAAATATTGAGAAAGTTTAAAAATAATGTGCATTTAAATGGCTGAAAGGGTTAAAAGAAAACTAAGCACTAAAATAATTATGTCAATTTTAGGAAACCAGGCTCTGTATGCTTAGTTTTTTCACTACAGGAAGGTTTTCAATTCTCCATTAACCTCTTGAGTACGTGACACTTTGTGACCTTCTCGTAAGTGACAGCCAGCACAAAAACCGTGTTTCAGCAGCTCACAACAGAGCGTTAAGGGGCTGACTCATCTGTGTAGAGCCGCTGTCCTCAGCAGTACCTCTATCTAACGGACACATCCGCATCATGAACAGTGTACACAAATAAGGCGGCAGAACAAAAGTGACGAGATGAGTCATGTCAGTTAAGGTAAAAGTATAGCGTGGAAGATAAAGAGAGCCTGTTTCAGATAAGTTGCTCTGGGAAGATTTGCACTACATACAGTAATGTGCACAATCAGTGCTTTCAAAATTACACCTCATCCTTTTATCATGAAAAAAAACCCATGAAACAAGCACATTCGATGAGAAACAGTTTATTGACCCAGTGATCTCACTTATTTCTATACAGAATAAATAATGCAGTGGCATGAAATCCACATCTGAGCAACACAGAACAGTTTTACATAAATCAAATGTATGAATCTAAATGAGTGGAGGCTTTAAAAATCAAAAGTAGGTTTTATTTTATGAAAGCAGTATCATATTTGTTAATACTGATCTAAGACATTCACAATATATATTTTAAAAAAAAAGACACCAATCAGAAATTGCACATGGTGAGCAGAGGCAGAGCTAGATGCTTTAATAATACATTGCCTCTTTGCATCCCAGTCAAATAATTCTTTGACTGAATTTGACTAATTATTTCACAGAAGGACAGGGACTTGAACATCAGCTGATTTGCCAAAATACCAACAGGTGACTGTACATAGCTTATTTCTGAAAGGCAACACTGTTGGTGCTATAGATAGATAAATAGATACGCATAACAGTAAAATATAGGACTGAGGATACAGAGCTACGCGTGAATCAAAAGCCTCAGTGTATGGGCAAACATGAAAAGTTTTTATCCATAGCCTTAGTTTCACAGTTTCATGAACATTACAGTGATTACATTTTAAATACAGGATCACATCATATGATATGAGACACACATGCACACACAGGCATGCCTGCAAACACATGGGCGCATACAGGCACACATGCCGTACAGATTTACCCATGTGCGCTTTCCCGAAGCCTGATATGACAAGGCAGTATAGGCCACATCTGACAGTGGCATTAGTGAACCTAATGTGCACCCATTATCCAGTCTGTGTTGTCCAGGTGACATTTCTTAAAGGATAACGCTGGTCATTTTCTATATTAATAGTATTTTCAGCAGTATCCATACAGAGACTAAAACCAACAATGTATTGCCACTACCCATGGTTAAGTCTCTCAGCTGTGAGTCTTGGATTAGCTTGTTCATCTGTGTGATAAACCTCTATTGTTGTTCAAAAACTATTAAAAACACATCAGGGAAACCCACCGGCTGCACTGGGCAATGTATCTTTTCATTACAAAACACCAGGCCTGACTTTGTTGGCTCCAAGTTTCCAAGTCAGACTCAACTTTGCATGTGTGAGACCTTGTGCGAGCTCTCTGCTTTGTTTACATTCTGCTAGCTCCTCACATTTGGGGTCTGGGGTTTGCTAATGAGGAACTATGTTGAACACTGACGAACGGAGACAATTCATTGTCAGTTTTAGTCTCTGCATGGGGAGTGTTGAAAATACTGTTAATATAGAAAATGACCTGCCTTATTCTTTAAAGTGATCTACAAGCAATGCTAATGTATGGTATTAACATAGCATTATATTATACAACGTTTGGCTCCTACATCAAGCCCCCTGCCTTTTTTTGCTCACAAAATGTAAATAAAATTTATTTGTGACTGTCCCCTTTTTAAATAACTGCAAACACCTTGATCATACTTTTACTTCTTTTGATATTAAGAGCAATACTTCAACATTTATAGTGCCACCTGTTTCATGAGGCTGTTAAAGAGATGCTCTTCCAATCCTTAGGTCATAATTAGTAATCAGTCCAAAAAAATAAGGTTTAGCCTGAGGTTGAGTTCTTGTGTAAATCTGAATTTTTGATGCTGAACAGTTGAAGACAGCCCAAGGCTCAACTCTAGCTTGTTACCTTCGTTGGTTTACACTGTGTGTGTGTGAGTGTGTGTGTTGCTAGATGGAAAGTCCGGGCATTAGAGGTCATCTCCTGGGGAATAGATATACCTGTACTGTATATCAGTCACTGTGATCCATCTAACATTTGCTGAGGTAAGTGGACCAGCAGACTGACTAACCAAAGGGTTGTCATTGGCATCTACAGCACAGAGCCACTCTGAATGGCCAACAATCAATAATCAGAACTAGGTCACAGTTTTAAAAAACTTGTATAAATGTGCTTCTTTATTCCTGTTAAGTGGAAAAACCTTTCCAGAGCTTTCAGACAATTCTTTATGTACCACAGTACTGCTATAACTAAGCAAAAGCATTTTAAACACTTTAAGGCAGGGGTTTTCAACCAGTGGTCTGTGGCCTGCGAAGGCATTGCAGGTGGTCCCTGACCATGCATTCAATAAGCTTTATTTTATTGTCATTGTAACATTGTGACACATACAACAAAATTTAGTTTGGAGCCGGGGACCTCGGGCCACTGCATACTGTACATACACACGCTGCCATCACGGGCAACTTGGGGGTTCAATGTCTTGCCCAAGGACACTTAGACATTTTGGACTGCAGGCACCGAGATTCGAACCTTCAAACACTTCACTGTCGCCCTCAATAATGTAGTTTAATTTATCAGTAGTTTAATTTTATTTTTTAAACATGTGTGAGTAATCTAGTTCATGCAAAGATATAACGTTTAAAAAAAGCCATGGTCACTTTCAGAATTAAAACAGTGCCCATGTGGTGTAGCCAACCTACAACAGTGGTCCTTGGGTTACCCCTTAGTCAGAATGGTGTTCCCTCAGTCACAGTTGGTTGAAAACCCCTGCTTTAAGGTTCAGATTATCAGAAACAGTCTATATGTGTCGTCTAAAATGAGTCAGAAGCAGCTATGTTACCTACTCAACAATACTGTGTTTGCTACATGATATGGCATAAAAACATCACAATGTGCAACTTCAAGCTTTGGGCACTTAAATGTGTGAGGTAGCAAAATAATCTGTATATACATTAATTATATTTCAAATGGCTCTACCTAAAAAAAACTTTAGCTGTTTGGTTCAAATTGGTTGATTAGGTGTTTATGTCCACAGCAGCCACAGATACCTCCTGCAATACTTTGGCATCAACAACAACCCAGCGAAGCTCTCTGAGGGTGAAGAGTGGGGTTGTGCCCTGAAGAGGGCAGCCTGGGGCAGTTAGAGAGCACAGTTTCTCTGTCTTTGCTCCCTGTTCCTTGTATCGCGCCAGCGCTGATCCACAGGGAAACTAGTCTTTGACTTCCTTAATGACAAACATCTGAGACACAGTCTTCTTGACCCGTAGAGCAGTGAGTCGAGCAGTAGGGTTAGCATACCAACACTCTCTCATCAGTTTGCCCATCACACGCATTGCCTGGTGTATCAACAAGGGCACAGTGTCATTAAGTGTCATCAAGCTACCAGTGACTTCACACTGGGAGAAGCTCGACTACAGCAAATCTACAGGGAGAAATCTAGTTTGTTAACTAAAGCTGTTTAGAAAAAGTAGTTCAAACTACTTTGTATAAAAATTATCAATTTGACAATGTAGATGTGATACAAACCTATAACAAAATGTATCGCAACAAAGTCGCTCGCCACTCAGCTGACTTTGTAACCGGAGACCTAAACATGTCCTAAATAAAACAATCCCATCTGAGCAAAACTGCAAGAAATGTCGTTTGTATTATCTGACTACGACTAAAACAGTAAAGAAAGATTATTTAATTTGCACCTTTTTAGACCATTTGACCGACTTGTCTTGTCAGTTTTGAAACATCTGAGTTGTTCTGTCTTAACAACTAAAACAGCTTTGCAGCTTTTCAGACAGTATGAACATTTGAACACTGGTCTAAATAATGGGCCTGTGTTTTTACTTGTTTATAAGACAAATGATCAGAGTCAAAGTTCTTATCCAACAGGCGGTTCTGTTTGGCTCTGGACATGTCCCAGGCAGCACCGAGAAGCTGCTCACATGCAGCATTGTGAAATAAAAAATATAAAACATTCCTTTCCTTTTATGGTCCAAAACTGTAGTTTCAGTAGTGAACCATGCCAACTAGTAATTTAACTACTTGAATCACTGTGCAAAATATGAACTACCAGCAAGCTACTGCAAATTGTACTTGAACTACTAGTTTTATTACATGTAGTCACTACTCCCCAACACTGCCTTATCAAAATGATCAGTTTTTCAATTAACATTTCATTTGGAGGTCAAATATAAATAATGTATCAATCACTAGTTACATAAGACAAAGCCTCAGCTGTGTTACCCCTCCTGTGCCGCCTGTGACCAGACGGATCATCTATTATAATTTCATAAACACACTAGTTATGAATTATATCAGCATATTAGTGATACTATCTTCTCTCACCTCACAGCTCTGCCACTGGTTGGGAATGTTGGGCCTGAGTTTCTGGTCACACACCACCTTTCTCATGTCCTCGATGGACGGATCTGAAGGCACCAGGTCATAGTAAGGCAACTGGAAATCTTCATGAAGTCCTGTGAAAATATAATGTTTATGAACATGCTTTTCATCACTGGGTTCATGACACACAGGACGGATGATTTAGAACCTAGTGAAAACCCACCAGGATATAAATTACTTTAAATTAGTATCTGCAAGGGACAAACTGACCATAACAACTGGGACAATTACTGGGACAAGTGCAGTTTGAGTGCAGTTTTGCTGGTGACTGATCCATTATATATTTCCATGAATATTGATAAACCAATAGGAGTGTATATGTGCATGTGTCATGTAAGGTACCCCTAACAGAGCATCGTCGGGCCAGTTCCCAGAACACCAGGCCTAGCGAGTAGATATCTGCCCGCTTGAATGACTCAAAGCTATCCATATTGATTGTCTCATCCAGAATTTCTGGGGCCATGTACCTGCAGAGGACAAAATGATTAAGGCCTAATGTAATAAATAAAAAGTACTTCTTTAATCAAGTTCAGTGTGCAGGTTTGTTGCAAACTACAGAAGAAAACAAGCTAAATTTACCTGTCATGCACGTAAATGTTCTCATAGACCGCAAAGATTTAAATGTTACTTTTCTGGGAATTTGTTCCCACTTTGTTAAAAACAATCACCACACTGATGGTTTACAGCTCTACTTTGAAAAAAGACATCATCCTGGAGGATCCTGTCGCCACGAGGAGTCGCCTAGGTCTAGTTGTTTTAACTCCCACACAAACTTTGCTCTAATTTATTTGGATAAACACTTGTGTTCATCACTTTACTACAAGAAAACCTTTTTTTTTTTCACAGCCTTTAGTTGTATCATGCCTGGATCGATCCTGTTTGCTTTCTATCATCTAATAATTTGAGGTCTCGTGACATTTGCCCAGTACTTTTCTCAGCAGACCTTCAACAACACTTTGTCATTGTTTCATTATGGTACTCTGTACACACCCAGCAAACAGTACTCAGTTAACAAACAGCATATTATTTTAGGAATCGCTAATGGAACTGAATGTGCATGAGACATGGAAACAGATGTTTTTCACTATGGAGTCAGAGCCAGTTAACACTATTGGCCAATGAATTCAAAACATGTTGAGAAATTCAGAGGCTGACTAATATGAAAACTCCATAGGAAACACATCAGATAAACCAGATCAGCTTTGAACTCACTTCAGTTTTATTTCTTGTTTCTGTTTTTGTGTGTTTTTGTTCTGTGTTTCCATGTGATGTATATCCAACCTCTTGGTTCCCACTCTGTGGTTCGACGGTATGTCTATGGTGTTGGTGCTGGAGTCGTGTTTCACTGCCAAACCCAAATCTGCGATGACTGCTGTGCCGTTCTTCTTCACCAGAACATTTTTAGACTTTAGGTCTCTGTGAGCAATGGCAGGCTTCCCTAGAATCACAGAAGTAATTCAAATAAAGGGAGTGTCACTTTTCTCTGGATTAATTCATGGTAGTTCAAATATCTTTGCAGTTTGGACTGTAGGCCCACAGATATACAAAGACTGAGATTTGGAAAATGATGTTACTTCCTTTTTTTAACTTCATTTAGTCTGAATGACAATAAATTGAAAATGTAATTAACACACTAATTGTTAATGAAAATACTTGTTAGTTGCGGTGCTAAATTACGACCTAATTTAAATTTAATCCTAATTCAAAGAGGATACACATATAGGTTATGATAATTCTTGCATCATGTCCATGGAGACTGTAGTATATGGTATCTTTATTGTGCACATATGCGTCATAATCCTTTAAATTCTCAGACAGGAGGTCAGTGTTGTCATCTCGATCATTTAGTAAGTCCAGCCTTACCCTGCATGCCAATGATCTCCATGTGGAGATGTGCCAGCCCACTGGCTATGGACAAAGCCAGGACAATCATGCCTTCCATGGAGACTGTGTACCTGTTCAGGTAGTCATACAGAGAGCCATGCTCATGGTACTCTGACACTAACCAGAGCTGAGTCCATGAGCCATTATCTGCAGCACACAGCAAATAATACAGTCACATGTTGGCACAGTAACTGCATATTTGATTAAGTTAGGTCAGCGGATCTTAACTTATCAAGATATTACAGCTATTGAGCTCATTATACATTCAAAGGTTCACACACCTTTGTTGTCAGCAGCGATGAATCCCAGGATGTTATCGTGTCTAAGCATGATAGTCTGATAAATCTCTGCTTCACAGAACCAGGACCTCTCATCCCTGGAGGAGAAGATCTTCACTGCCACATCCTCTCCTCGCCACTTGCCCCGCCACACCTCACCAAACCGACCCTTCCCAATGATCTCCTGCAGGACAATGGTTCGAGCTATGGTTCGCTGGACCAGTAGTGGCAGACCTGCAAGAGACAAAGCAAATCATTCCACCAGCCAAGGCTATGAACAACGAAGAAGAGTCTTTTTGTCTCAGCAAATCAATTACTGTTGCAAAAGTTACATTTTACTTGTTTCACCAACCCAGAATGAATCACACAGCAAATAATCACAGACTGTGCTGACATATTAAACAGCTGACAGAGTTCCTCTCACCTGATCCAGAGCCTGAGGTGCTCATGTCATAGATCAGATCTTTGAGACATTTGTCAGGTGACATGAGCATCTGGTCATCCAGAGGATCCTCCGAGTCCTGATTGTGGGCTCGTCTGTAGGCACAGCAGTGGCCCTGCACAACAAACACACCTAGAAGGATCCCCACACTCAGCAGGCAGGATGGCACTAGAATCATCGCAGCGAGCTGCAGCCTGCCCCAGCCAGGTTCTTCCAACGGCCTCTCTAGTAACAGATACAACATGACTTGAAATCACAATTGTATCTTTTGTGACTGAGCTCCATTTGATTGTTGCACCCTCTGGTGGTGGTGTTGATTATGGTGTAAGTGTAGACAGAAATCATCCTTTCAAGTGAGCAACATATTTCTATTGGTGTAATACTACTGCTCAAATATGCAGACAGATGCACTGTATAACCCTTTTCTTAATGCAGGCTTGGTGAAAATGAAGATGTCAGCCAGTTGGCAAATATGAAACGTTGCAGATGGAGATGGTACATTTGGCAAATGCAAAGCTAACTATTCCAAAAGCTGTTTTTCCAGAGTGCCAGACATTTTAGTCACTGCCCATAATTGCCATTAATCAAAGTGATAAAGAGATACAGATGTGCTGTGCCAGTAAACTGTTCTGCAGCAAGTAAAAATCCAAATGTATTTTTTCATCTAGCATGCTCCTTCATTTAAATTAAAGTGATATGCACTGATCAAACGCAGGTGCACCGTGAGACCCTGCAATAAACTGTGGGTTTGGCAAAACAATATAACCTGGCGTTTCTATGTAGCCTTCATTCTCTCTGTGGGTAGACACAGAAGATTTTGTCACAAACAAAAATGGCAGAGCTGATGGGCACTGTGATAACAGGACATTTACAGATGAACACGGTAATAGCTCTATAGCATAGTACAACAGTGATAGGTCTGGAGAAATACAAATCATTTAAAGCCTATCTGTGAGAATTGCTGTAGCTTCATATTAGATTCACAAACGACTGCAGGAAGTATTAACTCTTTCATGTGAGTATAGTAATAATACAGATTTGAAACCTAAAAAAGTGGCTCGATGTTCCTTCGTTAAAATCCCCCAAACGTCAATATCCTCACCAGGAGAGCCTTTAAACATGCAGATGGCCCAGTGTGCAAAGCAAAATGTTGTGAACTCAACCACAGTTTCCTAAGACATCTCTAACCTTTAACCACATATCCTGCCATGTGTCCAACTGGACTTCAGGAGATATGGTGCAAAACAAGACTTTACTCTCCCCTGGCCCAGTGGCAAAAGACCTTCTACAAACTGTAACTGGTTTTTTTCTGACTCTTAGGCAATTCTGCCTGGGTCAAGGAGGTAATCTCCACAGTCATTTGTAATTTTATGTTGTTTGTTTGACTTTAAGAAATGAATGTTTGGAAATAACAGTGACAGAAGAACACTGGAGCTATCCTTAGCAAGGTGTTACATCACAATAAACTAAACCAAACCATAAATCCAGCTACGCAAACCCATAACTTCAGCTTATAAATGTAGATGCATTTTAGTATTTAGGCCTGCACAGACATCACAACCCTGATAAATATTAAGTGTTTATGTATACAAAAATAAATCACACATTGGATGAGCTTGTGTGCTGATATTTAGCAGAGCAGTGGAACAGACTGATTGTCAACACCATCACAGCCTCAGGCTGTTGCCCCGACCCATCTTATCAACAGTCTGCAGCCCTTCTCACATTAAATCTCCTCAGTAGCCTGAACAGTTTATGACGTTGACCGCTGTCTGAAAATGCCGTTTAACTCCAATTGTTTTACCTGAACAAAATCAGTGGGAGAAAACTTAGTTTTCTCACTTTTTTGTTTTATTTGGTGTCAAACATTATTCATAGTGACCGACAGTCACTATCAAAAGTTGAAAAATGCAGGAAAGGGAAACCTAGGCTGTTTCTATCTAAGAGGAATATGAACACAGACACCAGCATATACAGCAGCACTTCCATTTAGCACAACTGACCTGAGTGTCCAGCTAAACGTGTTAGTTTTATATTTCTGTATTTACCATTTATGCTTTTCAAAAGTCTGTGTACAAAACCGAGCCAGCAGTTAGCAGGTTAACTGGTTAGTCGACCAACTGATAATAATTTACAACAAATCTGATAATTTCTTTAAGCAAAAATGGCAAAATCCAACGGGATGCAGTTTTTCTTCATCCTCTTCATCCTGTGTGACAGTAAATTAAATATCTTTGGGGTCTGAATAGTTGGTCTGATAAAATAAGGCATCTGCAGACCACAACTCTTGACTAATGTGAAAGGCCAAAAGGCCTTTTTCACTTGTTTATTTTATTTATTTATTGACCTGCCAGCATTTTCCATTAAGTTGTATATCCACAGGTGTAAGTAATCCTTCACTGCTTTAAGGCCAATGTCCACCCAGCAGACCCATGAGAGGCTTTTAACGTGCAATAGACTACATGCCTGGCAAAGTATTTATTTAGAATTCAAGGGAGGGAGGGGGAGCATCGCCAACCGCCATCCCATAGCGTCTGCCAAATTTGTTATGTCACAGGATCTGGTAGGATCAGCATCCACCTCGTCTAGCTGGGGCCAGAAGGACGGGAAATCTCGCACACTGTCAACTGAATACTGTAGCAACTGAGCAATGTGGCATTAACACATGGACTGCCTGCCTGCATACATTCTCAGCTACAGTTCAGAAGCACCGCTGTTTATTTAACCTATCTTGGTGTGAAATTGAAAAAAAAAGGCTGCACCTGGGTATAGGTGCAGAGTCTCATTGTTGCAGAAGTCAGTGAAGCAGCAGTTCCTCTTGGAGACATTGCGGGAGCTGTAGCAGAAGACCTGGCCCTTCATCTCAGAAGGTGACAGGCAGGACTTGACCGTCTCCTCCTTCCCATCAATCAGCATCACAGAGTTCCAGCAGGCACCATCTGCGGCTGTTTCACAGGTGTGGTTGGCGCAGAGCAGGCACACACACTTCAGACCTGAAACAAATTATTCAAGCTAGTTAGATCATTATTTACTTCACAGACACTTTCAGTTAACCCAGACTCATAAAAACAGAGCAAAAGGACAATAAACCCACAGACTGTCAGGGTTAGTGGTCTTTAACTCCTTAAAAGAAGGATGTGCCTGTTATGTAAGGAGGTCTATGCTCTTAAATGGCTGGAGGTGGAGAGACTGGTGTAATGCCTCTTACTTTAACACCCAGATAATCTTCTGTTCTACTTGGACCTACTGTCATGCTTTGTTTGATAAGAGTGTGGCTGATTACTAAGCAAGGCTGCACTGACTGCTGGCTGGAAAAACCATGGGATAACTGTGAGCATTGTACATTAACTGATGCAGCTATTTTTAAAGAAGCTCCAGTTTTTATCCCATATTAGATGCCCGTAATAACAAGAGTGGAAGTTGCCCAAAGTGTCAACAAATAAATCCTATAATATAGTTGTTAAATTATAATGGTAATGTTTAGATAAATTGTTTATTCATTTCAACACTGAATATTAAGTAATAACCTTTTCAAAAATGATTCCCATACATTTTATTATAACTTAATGAATCTCTGTCAACGTACATACAAACTGCAGTAAAACCAGGTGGGTGCTGTCTGAAATGTGTCTCAAAGCAACACCTGAAACTATGAAGTTTAGCCAGAGGTCATTCTTGACACCTGTCGTGAGGGACTATTCAAACTCCCAAGAAAGCCGATCATTTTTCATTGATTTTGTGATGTGGACTGCAGACAGGCCAAAGTCCGCATGAGTTGTAGCTGCCTTGAAAGTAAATGTTATTTGTATTATGCATGTCAAATATGTATTGTTATTATTAGTTCAACTTTTATTTGTAAGCCACCATGTACAATATTAAACATAAATGTTGTAATTTGATGTACCGTACCAGAGTTAGCTTAAAGCTAATTTTCATCTGAAGTCCCCGACACGTTGCAATCAAAAACATCATCACAATGACAAAACAATACCAAATAAAACTGATATAATACAATATAAAACCAACTATAGATGCAAAACTAGACAGGACATAACATATCAATATATTTAAACACAAGATAACATTAGCAAAGCTCAAAATCAGTAGTTACATCACTGGCTGGCCTTCAGTAGAGTTTTCAGTTTAGCTTTCAAACTGCTAAAAGAGTGGCAGCTCCTTATGTCATCTGGTAGAGCATTGCACTGAGATGTGCTACGATGAAAGGACACAATACAATCTGTCACAGATGATATTCTCAGTGATTGGGCAGTAATTTAGAAGCCTTCCTGAGATGGTGGTCACAGTGTAGGATGTGGTCAAAGTGTCTCCAGTTCATGGATTCAGTGTGAGAAAAGGTCCTTTTGGTCAGAAGGTCTCGAATGATATCTAAAGATATCTAGTCCTAATCAGTAAGGATGACAGCCTGCTAAGGTCCTATTTGTTCCACTTTATACTGTTACATATGAAGAGAATGACAATAAATTCTGCCTCGACCTTTTGACACTCAGTCTTAAGCACATTTTATACCTACTGAGGATTCAAATGTTTAAAAATGGGTCATGAAGTTTCACTTTAAGGTTCAATAAATTGCTAAAACGGTTGGACACTGTAGTTTTTAATAAATAAAAGGAAGTTGTGCATTTTGGGGATGAGTTTCAGCTGCAGATTAATGTACATTTGATGCACCAGTAAGTATGTACAGTGGAACCACCATAGTGATGTGATGTTAGTGAGATAAATTCATCGTTATTTTGTCTCTTAATTGCATTTACCGACAATTAGGAAAACAGTATATCACGAACCTAAGTTCATATGAAGCTTTGTAAAGCTCCACCTGCAGTACATGAGACATCTTGGCAAAATCATCAGACAAAAAGCTGTTTTACCCATACAACATACCTGAGAGTTGCTTGGCAACAACTTTCTCAAGGAAAATGATTATTAAATAAAGTTTGAATAGACTGTAGCTCCAAAATTGAGGAATAAGAAGGCTGGGCTTTTTTTTTGCGGCAGATGATTTGACTGAGCGCTGGTTTGCATGTTTGTTTCTCTAATCATGCATGATAGCAGGGAAGCAATATGTTAAAAATGTTCTATTTTCTATTTTCCATTTTCTAGCATCAGTAGAGATAAAAGGCCTGAGGAGTAAGAAAACACCTGCTCAAAACAGACAAAATGTTCTCAAAACAACAATCGGCATAATCACATATTGGTGTGACTCAACTGCATCGGGGTTGGCTCGGGTTTGAACATGGAATATAATATTCTTGTCAGGTCCAGCCACCATGCTCTCAGACTATAGTCGAGTTCAGACAGAAATATGCAGCCCGATCCATACTCTACACCCTGGACAGACAACCTCACACTCAAGGCATTTGGACTCTGGGAGGAAGCTGGAGTACCTGGAGAAAACCCACACAGCCAGGAGGAAAACAAGCAAACTCCACAAGTAAAGGCCCCACTCTGTTGCGATGTTCGAACCTTCCTGCTGTGAGGAGACAGTTCTCACCACTGTAATACTATGCCACCCCAACAGTACATTACATCAAATTAGAGTTAACACAATATTTTAGTGTGTTTACTGCTCCACATCTCACCTGTCATTAACATCAAGGCCGTAGACTTTTAGTCACATGGGATCTAGTGTAATATCTCCCCTAATAAAAAAACCTTTGTGTGATAAATCCAACCTTGGCATCCCTCTCCAGTGTTAGCATCATAGGTGGAATCACTGGCCTCTAATGCCATTGAAGGAAAAAATGAATTGCGAGTATAAAGGAAGGTAGAGCTTTCATATTTTGAATGTGACTAAAGCCTTAGCTGAAGGTTGTACTACAACCTGACTGAACTCACACATATTAATATCAACCTCGGCGGCTGTTACTGAGAATTTCCTGCTTTATATTCACATATCCCTACATGTCCTTCTCTTTGTGCTTAAGTTTTTATGGCATAGAGCAGGTGACCAAGATGAAGTATCCCTTTAAATGTGACTTCATATTGATTGCGAATTCAAAGGTTGTTTATCTCTGTATAGTTTGACACAGTGGGTGAAGCAAAACAAGCAAAACAAGCTGTGTGAATAGAACCAGAAATCAATGAAAGTTAAGCAAACGCACTGGAAGTGTTACAACACAGTCCAGCAGTTGTGAAAAACTGTTATGTCATTGGAGTTTTGAGATGCAGCACCTTCTAGATGTTCGTACTTGGAGGTGTAAAGAACTGGTCTTGTGCAGGTGGAGCAGTTATCCCAGATGAAACGTAACATAAAGGTTTAATTCAATCAGTACATCCATATATGTGTTAGAAATTGAATGCTTCTCTGAGATGCTCAGTAAAGGGGACGTGAGTCTTCTATACTGAGGACATCTTTGACAAGAGAAGTAGGTTCAAGGTAATGAAAGGGAAGGGGGATACAATTTAAGGGGTCAGTTAAATTTAAAAATGCATGCTATATGTACAACCAAAAAAAGATTTTGTATTTCCATAAGTGGGGTAAAACTATGGAATAATTTAAATGTGGACGTAAAAAATAGTAATAGAATTGATGAGTTTAAACATAAATATAAAGCTATGTGTCAATCAAGATATATGCAAGAACAGGCTTAATGATTAATTAGATGGAACATTGTGGGTGTGGTGTATGAATGTTAACACTCTGTAATAATTTTTTAGTATATTACTTGTGTGGTGTAGAAGAGAATTATTTATGTAGAGATACTGCTTGCAAACCAATGATGGTAAGATGATGTCATGGGGTAGGACTGGATAAGTCTGACTTCTTCCTACTCCATTCAAGCATGTACTAGGTATAAGCACATTGATATTGGATTATGTGTACAATCATGTGTGTTGTCATATCAACTGTCTTTACATGCTTGAAAGAATAAATCAAATCAAATCAAATCAAATCAAGGCCACACTGGAGGAACTGAACCAGACAAAATCATATATGACTCAGTGTGTGACGTCTGTATAATTAAGCTGATTCAAAAACACTATCAAAGGCAGGGTAGTGAAACCAAAGGCAGGCAAATTCCTAGAACATTCACAATGTGGCCAATAATGGAGAAAGTATTTATAGCTGCAGAAAACATAAGTGGACGAGCAGACAGCATACATACCTTCTTTCACTGGAAGAATTTTTCAAATACAAAGAATGTGCAGTAGTAATAGCAACCATGCAGCTTTATTTGTGTTTGTTTGTTTGTTTAAATCTACCTTTTATCCTTGTAGGGATTAACAACTTTTTAAGTAATTAGTCTATTCAAATGCAGTAGCAATGTAAAGTATAGTGCTGAGAAACTTGTACATTTTTAAAAAACCATTGCACGACAGACTTCTTCAACAAGAACTGTCATAAAACTCATGAATCATATTGTATGTGTGCTATGACATAGAGAGATAAACTGCAGCCTCATATTACTTCACCTGTTACCAGAAATCAGGCCATCTCCTTGCAAAAGCACTCAGCTATAGCCAAATTAGTGTGTTCAGAAAAAGGTGTACAATATGTGCACTTCTATAATTGATTTTTATTGAACAGTAAATGGCTGAAAACCTTTTACAGTTAACCCACCAATCTCTTTGCTCCATTTGAAACAATAGATTAGCTCCCACACACCTTCCTGTCATGAGTACATCCTTTTTTTCCCCAAATTTGTCAATGTTTTACTCAAAGCCTTTCTTGAAAAGTGTCTAATATGAGCGAATGTTTATTAAAATAGCAGCTAATTAATTGTTGGTGGACTGACTAAAAACAAGTCTACAGAAAAGACCATTCAGATCTCAATAAGATGTGTAAATGTAACTGAAACAACTAGGTTTTACTAGAACACCAATGCCATGCTCTCACCATAATCTCACAGCATAGACACTGATTGGGAAATGGCACTGAAGAATAAAAGTGACAATATTCTGCATATTTTCAAGATTTTGTTTAATCCACAAGTCTGCCACGCATACTTCTCTACAAACAAACAAATAAATAATAATAAAAGCCCCCAGAATACTTGGTCTGTTAACATCCTATACAAAACCAAACATGGAAAAACAGGCTGTTTGTAGAAGTCAGCTATTTAATTTCCTTCCATAACTGGTCAATGAAAAATTAAATATATGTGCTTTTAATAATTTTTAAATACAACTTGTAATGCGTCCTCCTATTTGATGACATAACCTATAATTCTCAAAAACAGCTTTAACAGGTTTCAAAACAAGAGATTTAACTGTCTGCTTAACTATTTATCTTGGTTAGGTAACACCTATGCAATTTATGAACTCACGTAAACCCCTGACCCAAAACTGTAATTTACTTAATGAATGTGTCTGATGAAAATATGAACTGAGCTCCTGTACCTGCAGTCAGCTGGGCGACACACAGGAAGACCAACGCCGCACGAAAGCTCCGCTTCCTGCGACAAGTCATGGCAAGTGCCGCATCTGCTCCTTCTCCGACGCACCGTTTACGTAGCTGCTCTACAGAAAACGCGACATTGCGGTGATGTCCGCCGGCCAGGCACCCCGCCACGAATGGCTTTCGCTGGGAGGAAACTGTAAAACGCAATGAGAGGTTTCGCTCCGCCTCTGTTGAGCGGAATGTTAGAGGATTAGCGCTGCAAACCTCTGATAAAGACATGTGAATGGGAATCCGAGAGAAAGTGTTTTGCACGTCCATTTAACTGTTGCGGGTCCAATAAAACACCTTATGGAGATTCCCTCTGTTCTCTGAGGGGTCCGTTTTCATTTATTTAGTAAATGTGGTCAAAGAAAACCAGATTAAATTGCTTACATTACACTGAAAAGGGGTAATGAAGAGTTTTTAAACCAAGTCCAAAACATCATTAGTAAGAACACTGAACTCCCCTGATGAGCACAGCAGACATGCACTGTCACTAAAGGAATATGGATATTACATTAAGTGTTTCAGGGGGATGCACTGGCTCTGTGTACATCCTGGTGACCTAATAAACTAAGTTATATATGCTTTATGAACCTGTCTGTAGCCCTACAGAGTAGGGACAGTCACCTTCATGTCGCCATCAGAGCACAGAGCAGATTATACTTGGCAGCTTTACTGTAAACCAACCAGTGCTCCTATCCTAAAACACTACCTGACCCAGATTTTGTGCCAATTAGTGCATGATAATTTTACTAAACAATAAATATGCAGCATGTAACCCCAATTTAAACAAAAATACCAGAGGCCCAAAATCTGTTTTGACACAGTGCCCTTCCAAAAGAGAGGGCTACAAGAAAAATGTGGGACCCACCACCCTTGACAACATTGAACTTGAGATTTACAACAAATTTGCAATTCACAAGTTTGTGGCCCCCAAGGGACTGTCCGTGGTTTGCTTTGCCTCTGTGGTAATCCCGGCTAAAGCAACCTTATCTTGCACCCCTGTGGTTATTGCAATTTCTCTCCCTGGATGTGCAGCACTCATGTCAGCTAAACGGGAGAAACCAGGCTAGACAGATATGGCCGCTAACGCTCCTCATAACCGGGCAAAGAGCGAACACTTTCAGGCAGTAAATCACAAATGAGTCTGCTGTACATTTACCAGGGGGCAAAGCTGAACTCACCTGCATGCAAGAAGCTACTTACTGCCGGCCATATGCGTGAAGTCGTGTTCCTGGTGCTCAGGCTCCATAGCAACATCATGTGCCATTTGTCACTAGGGACAGTGAAGAACCAAGCTTAATCCCAAACACTACATAAGCAAACCAAATTACAACATGTTATTTTCTATTCTCCTTTTCTACAGCAATTTGGAGGCAGGGTATGTGTTGTATACAAACAGCACAGCTTTGGAAACAATAGGAAGACAGTTAAGTGAAATCAGCAACCTCAGTTCTATTATGGGCTCTGCAGACACCACTGATATGGCAACTTCTGCTCTTTTTGTACCGAGTGATTGATAAAATGTGTTTAAAAAAAAAAATCTGCCATGCAAATTAAACTTCTCCTTCTCAGTCATAATATACAGAGTTACAGCACATGTACACAAACCAAGTGCAGAACTTTGAGGGAACACTGAATTAAAGCTGGTTGGTCAAACATCTGTGCTCTGTGGGTGCAAGATGGATGAAATGACACTGAATATTAAAAAAAAAAGTCTTTCTACAAAGTCTGACAGCCATTGATCAACACAAGCAGGGTGTCTCAGCACCATCAGAAATCCACTGCTGCGTCTCTATCATCTGTAGCATATTAATCAGCTTGGACCATCAGGAGCTCAGTTTCTATTTGACATCTGCCAAGATATCTGTTACGCACTCAGTTGACAGCTGGCAAGGAAAATGCCTGGGCTTCTGACCTTTTCCAAATTAACATAAATTCATTTGTTAGAGTAGTACAGATGTCAGGCTTTCTACAACACAGAAATAGATCATTATGGAGAAATGATGGTACATAAGTGAATCAGCTCAAGATAACCTCACATTTTAGTTTTTGAGTTTTGGCTGTCAGTTTGCTGGGTCCCTACTATACACTCTACTGCACTTATACAGTATATTTGTAATACCTAGAACAAGAAGCTGGATAGAGTTTGATCTGAAGTCAAACTGCATGACCAAAATTACTGGTTGGCTTTTAAAGGCCCAGAATAATTAACAGATTCACTGTAAGTTGCAATGATGATTCAGCCTTATATCAGCATGCTAACACTGGTTCACTGTTCTGGTTTAGCATGTTAGCATTCTAAGATTCGCTGATTTGCACTTACCACAAAGTGCAGCTGAAGCCAATGGGAATGTAGTTTCTGGTGTTTGGTCATTATTAAGCAAAGTACTGGGAAAACTGAACCTTTGATCCAATGATGGTACTAGAGGAAAACTGAATCATAAAAGGCAGCAGATCCACAAGTGTCTGTACAAAGCTTCACTGCAGTCTCTTCAGTAGCAGCTGAAAGAGCTGACAACGTCCATCCCTGGAGCAATGTCACTATGACTGAACACAGCATCAGGACAAATGAGACGGATATTACTTTTTTTTTCTATTTAATTAATAGAAATCAATAACTGATATAAAATGTTATGGAAATTTAAAAAAAAAAGGCTGAAGTTTGACTTCATTTACTTGACAGTGCACTCATTTAGACAACAATGCACACGTCAGGACAGTATACAGGCTGTACAGGCTTAGTAAAAGGTCTCTGGGGAAACAGAGTTCAGTTCATCTAGTAGATATTTTTATTTGTTCTTTTTGCATCTGTTTGTAAAGCTGAATAAGCAAATCAGAACAGGTATGTAAAATCCATGGTGATAATTAAAAAGTCTACAACAGAATACCTCAAGTTGGATGATATCTCACAAAAAGAACAGTGCCATTGGTGCATCTGCACAACGAAATGTTATATGGTTGATTATAATGCAAGAAACTTGCTCTGACAGCACTGTAAACAAGGGTGCATGACAAAGTAATTGACTTTTTAACATAATTCTCATAATACTGTGATCTCAGTTTTAAAAAGTATAATGAATAAACTGGCAGGTTGGCCTCTTGTCCAAATGAACAATGCAGTACTGTACAATTACAGAGATAAAGTTAAACTGCTAATATGTTTAGACATTGGTCAAGGTAAAAAAAAAAAAAAAAGTGTTAAACAAAAAAAAGCAAGACTGCTCAAATGCCAAGGTAACAGTTTCTTCCTTGAAGAATATTTCTAACAGTGTTATAGCTTGAATAGATATTTCCCTATTCCTATGTCCTATATTTTCTTTTCCAAGACCACTGGCAGTCTCAGAAATGCCTAGTAAGCCATCTTTGGATGCCAAAATGTGTTTTCAAATAAATACAGGTCTGTGCCACTATAAGGGCACTAAACCCAAGTCTTTTGTCTTCTGAGATTTCTCCAAGATGGTCCGCCCGCTGGATGTCTTCAAAAGCCTTTAGTACATGTCTGCCTCCTCTTCTTGAGACAGGCTCAAATGTCTGTTTTGATTTTGTCCAGAGAGTTGTCGATCTTTGTGAGAGTTTTTTTGATGCGCAACGCTGTTAACCTAGCTGATGGATTCTGGTACCAGCACTCCTTCATGAGTTTAGCCATCGAGGTTAAAGTCTGAAAATAATTAGGAGAAAGAAACCAGTCAGCACGGTCCATGTGAGTATTACTGTAATGCTTTTATTTCTGAATACCTAAAACATTCAGATATGAATGATGTGCCACTCAAAACTACAGTCTCTAACTTCTTATTATTTGTTAGGTAGAATATGATCTAAAACGTAGAACTGTCAATCAATACATCAGTGTTGTGGTACTCAAGTGCAGGACTCCGACTCCAACGTGACGTCACTTGGACTTTAGTGTTCGTGACCCAGACATGAGCACTGACTGCATGTGGACTTGGAATTTGGAGACGAGGACTTTTTCCAGAACACTTCCATCAAAGCATACATCACGCACACACACACACACACACACACACATACATACATACATACATACATACAGTGGTGTGAAAAAGTATTTGCCCCCTTACTGATTTCTTATCTTTTTGCATGTTTGTCACACTGTAATGTTTCAGATCATCAAACAAATTTAAATATTAGTCAAAGATAACACAAGTAAACACATCATGCAGTTTTTAAATGAAGGTTTTTATTATTAAGGGAAAACAAAATCCAAAACTACAAAGCCCTGTGTGAATAAGTGTTTGCCCCCTAAACCTAATAACTGGTTGGGCCACCCTTAGCAGCAACAACTGCAATCAAGCGTTTTCGATAACTTGCCATGAGTCTGCCACAGCGCTGTGGAGGAATTTTGGCCCACTCATCTTGGCAGAATTGTTGTTATATTTGGCTATGGTGTCACACACAGTAAGTGAACTTTTAAAATGCTGAGAGCTGTGTCAGTTGTGTTTAATGTAGACCTTAATGACTGACTCAGGTAACGGGGACTCGACTCAGACTATTCATTGATTTAGACTTGACTTGAACTTGAACACTAGGGGCTCGAGACAACGCGGACTCGAGGTTTACTGACTCGACTACAACACTGTTCATCTAGTCCTCTCACATTGAGGCTGCAAGCTAGTAGGGCTGGGAGAAGCAGAGTGGTTCTTTGTCACCGTCATGCCAGTGCTGGCTTGGTTTCCAGAACTCGTAGCTTTAGTGATTATTTGAGTTTTATACTTACTGGGTCCGAGAACCATCTGTTTGGGATGTTGGGCCTCTGCTGATCAACACACACAACCTTCTTCATATCCTCAAAACTGGGATCACTTGGAACCACGTCATGAAAAGGTGGCTTGTAATCTTCTACAATGCCTAAATGTAGAGCAGAGAATACAACCAATGACTTTCAAGAGCAGGGAACATAAAAGGGTAAAACTGATTAAGGCAATAAAAACGTATTGATGCTATGGAACAGCTGTTTTTTCTTTAACCTGCTCTTAAAAGTAACTGTGGGACAAAACTGAGATGTGAGGTTACTGTGTTGAGGGTAAATCTATATCTTAAGTGTCTCCTGAAAGCCCAGTTCCAACAATGAAGCAATAATGCTCTTTGACAGTCGCGGTTTTACTTCACCTAAGATGCCTGAGATTGTGAGTGACGATGTGCGTATCAAGGTCATTTCTTTCAGCAGCTCAAGTTAAAGCCATGATTCTGTGTTTATTCTGAAGAAAACCCCAATTCTTTATCTATTGAATGCTCAATCTACAACCCTGTTTTGTTTTTTTATAATCATGATTATGTGCACAGGTAATACAACTATACAACACATAAGACTGACAGATGGCCAAGGTGAATGAATTAAGGAAGATAAGCATTTTAAAAGAGATGTGGCTGTGTTGTGTAAAATATACTGACCATTGCTGACTGTTCTCCTGGCGACCTCCCACAGGACCAGCCCCAAGGCCCAGATGTCCACTCTCTTGTAGGATTCGAAACAGTCCATCTGGATAGAGTCGTCGAGCACTTCGGGGGCCATGTAGCGCTTTGTGCCCACTTTAGGGTTGTTCCCCACATCTAACTCATTGGTGTCTTGAAAATGCATCACGGCCAGACCTAACATGAAAACACATAAACCATATTTATCCAATTATAAATGACATCGGCTTTACAAAATATAGACTCTATAAATATAAAAACAATTAACATTTTAAAACACTCACTTTATACTGAGATTTAAAGTGAGTGCAAAGAAACGTTTTCCCTTCTCAGACAACTATGGTGAGGACAAAACACCGGATTCGCCCCATCAACAGGCTTAATGCTCAAACACCACTTGTTCGTTGTAAACAGTCCTGTTCTCTCCTCAGCAAAAGAACAGCTTACCTGGGAGACAAACAACTGCATCCGTATTTGTCTGGACACGAAAATGCGTCATCCAGAACAGAATTTATTACTTTGAGCTTGTAAACATGTTGAGCCTGCCGCCAGGTTATGGCTCACACCTCAATTAGTTTTTATTCAAGTATCTGCAAATGGAACATTGGTGTAAGTGGTCCGAGTTGTTCCTAATGTATTTCTGGTTAAGGGCGGAGTGGTACATTCACCAACAAATAAGGCTCGGGACAGATCAGAATTTAGCCATGATACTGCAGATGCATCTGTTACGTAGTGCCCATGAACATTCAGTTAACCCGTTCATTAGCTTTGAGGTGGTTAAAAGCATCTTACATTTATGGTAAGTCACCTTGAATGAGCACCTTATTAAAATCCAATTTACATGAAGTGAAATATTAAAATCCAAGGGTAAGTGTAGGGCTCTACTCAGTCTGACTTGTGCAATATTTTATTAAACATTTCCCCAAAATTCAGCCTCACATCATTTCTATCTTTGGAAACACCACACAAATAAACTATGAGTCTGTCATTTTAAAAGTGCGTCTTATGCACATCTTGAAAGCAAAGAAATTATGGCAAATACACTATTAGATTAAAATTACTTTGGAAACATGGAAAAGTCTACAAATATAGAGAAATAAAAATGGGATATTTACGATATACATACAGAATGTTAGGGTTCTCACCAAGGTCAGCAATGCAACACTGCCCGTTCTTTTTAACCAGTATATTTTTGCTCTTCAGGTCTCTGTGCGCGATGGCCGGTTTGCCCTGTGTGCCGAAGATCTCAACGTGCAGATGTGCCAAGCCACTTGCGATAGAGAGTGCCATGCGGAGGCAGCCGGATGCATCGAGGGTGCTGAGTTGAAGGTAGTCATACAATGAGCCCATCTCGTGGAAGTGAGTGATCAGCCACAACTGAGTGCTGGAGTTCCTCGAGGTCATGTCTGAAGCGATGAAGCCTATGTCGAGAGAAACACGTTAGTGCAGTTAGTAAAAGGTTTTAATCAGAACGTGCATCATCATGTGTAACCAATGGGGCATGTGCAGACACTAAAGAACAATTAATATAAGAATGAGGCAGACAGGTCTGGATAAGTGATTCTGACTTTTAAAACAAGATAAACACATTTTTTAAATGAATAAAATCAGTCAAAGCAATGTTTTAAGCACTAGTGCCCATTGATTACTTGCTATATATTATCAAATTATGCATATGCTGGATGTAATTAGCAATATCTAACACACACGGCAGTGTACGAGCTGTACTAAGAGCTTGTTAAATCTGTATGTGATATTCTACACACACACACACACACACCGAGGATGTTCTCATGTCTCAGCAGCACCGTATTGTAGATCTCAGTCTCTCTGAACCAGGACTTCTCATCTCTGGAGGAGAAGATTTTGACAGCGACACTCTCTCCTTGCCACTGACCCCTCCACACTTCACCATAACGGCCTTTACCTGGTTGGGAAAAACACAAACACAAACACAAACCAAAAACAAAAATTAGCACAGACAGAGAGAGCTGAATAAACATGTGTGTTTGCTGTTGGTGTGAGGGGCTCAGTGTGTGTTTGGTTTGTGACCTTGCTGTTGAATAATGTACTGTCGCCAGGAGGAAGGATTCAATTTGCTTTTTTCTACATTCAAGAATTGAAACAAAGCATGAATAAAAATAAATAAAAACAAGGTATACGATGAATGCAAGTAAAATTATAAAAATGAATCCATTAATAAAATTCAGTGATCTTGGACTAAATGCATTACCATAAACGCAGGGTCTGTTGAGTACATGTAATTAAATAGAAATCCCACACCAGATGCTTTAAAATGTCACTCTTATGTGTAGAAGTTGCTACCTGCTCCTGAATTACCATAATTTACATTAAAGTGTACAGCACTCTCTAGCTTCGACGTGTCCTTCCGCTCATCATCTCTCAGTAGGAAGAGTTTCAGAAGCACTGTGACAAGGTTCACTGCATGCCAACTACCCAAACAGTGAACAGCTACAGGCCCATATATTTTTGTCAAAGGTCAGGGAAGACAAGACAAAGCTTAAAGAAAAGGGACTTATCAAGAGAAGCAATCCTGTGTGAATGATAATATAGCTGTGTTTGTCTGTCTGATGTAGAAGCAGTTTGTGAACATGTTCACCAAAGCAACCCACCTGTGATGAGATGTCTGTGTAAATGTGCTTTTATTTTGCTGCCCCCTAGTGGCCAGATACCAAATCATGCACATTGTTTTAACCACTAATTACTGAAGAACAGTAATGAGTTCTTTTCAACACAAATGGACACTTGAACCTTGCACGCTGATAACTATGGCAACACGTTTGTCCGTATAAAAATATGTTTGCTGTTGGTAATGTTTTCTCTGACACTTATACTACAACCAGCCTCAAAAATAAAATTTGTGCAACTGTGGCTCTGGGGACTTTGTTGCTGGAACTGTTGCACATCCATTCTGGCTCAGTTTCACAGCATCTTCACAGCACTGCTTCTTTTGCAACATATTTATTTCAAATTGATGTTTCTTGTGGATAAAGTACTTTTGTACATGTATATATACCCTTACAGAAGCAGTATTTCAATGTCCACCATAGCATGTTGCTAAATGGTGTACAGCTGCTCTGAGGCTTACGTTGAGCCAGAACCACCTTTTACTGTGGGAATTAACTGCAGTTTTCACCAGAGCCCCCAGTGTCAGCACAGTTGAAGTGTCTCATTGAGTGAGGTTTTTTTGTTTTTTTGAGGCAGTGCTGTTGTAAATATGAAAACAATCGTTACCAGGACACTTACCCACACACTCATTGAGTGTAATTTGTCGAGCAACAGTTCTCTGAACAAGGAATGGAAGTCCTGAGCCACTGCCTGAAGTACAGGAATGATCTAGCAAATCCTGGGAAAGAGAGAAACAGAGGCACCGATTCTAAGGCTTGTATATTTATATGTGTGCTATCCGAATGAAATCCTTGAGCCTTAAAAAAAAAAATTATGAAATAAGAGGCATGTGGGACTCAAATGGAGATTAATACAAGCGGGCCGCATTTGATGTGGCACCCACATGGGATGGAGGGGGCTGAGCTGTGCGTGCGTATCAGGATATTGTGTCTGTGTGGGTATGTCAGGGCTGGAGGTGCAGAGTGCCTCCTGCTGAGACAACAACAGAAGTGCCACCCCCTCCCTGGTGACTGGTGTAGGTGCTGGAGACTGTATCTAATCCATGGGCTAGGCTCCAAAACAGGCGCAATGCTGCTAAGCTTTTTATTTTTATCTCAGCTGCAAGACATGCAGCACGCCAGTGCTGACACAGGAGGGCAGTACATAGCAGCAGAGTCAGCAGCTGAGGACTGAAAACAAGAGAGAAGAGTGATGCCTCATATAAACAGATGCATAATGCAAGAGCTGCCTGAGACACAATTTGGAATCATAACACAGGAAAGCAAGAAAGAGGCCATAAAATCAATGATGAGTTACTCTGCACAGTTTTAATCCCTCTCTCTGGTACAGGAGGATTGTTTTTAGGAGCGTCTATCTGGGCCGGGCCGTTAAGCAGCAGAATGCAATCAGAACACGGTAATGTTATTACAATCAGAGACGACTTCTGGGCAGCAGGCTGCAGAGGAACAACCGCATGTTCTTCAGTCCGATTTGCCTTCCATAGCCACTCCACAGTTTGAGATTATCTCCCTCATGTTGCTGCCAAGCACTTTTTAATTGTGCTAAAACAAACACTCTGTGGATCTATATTTGGAACTTTCATTGCTATGTGTTTTGATGGTAACAGCTTGGAAAAAAAAGCCAAAGTCACCTATTTCTCTCTGGCACATACGTATACAGACAAATTATTATACTTTAATAGTTGGTTATTTCTAATTTTAAAAGATAAATGGGATGATCTGTGTTTAGACATGTTTACAAAAAGAAATTAAAATGTACATTAAGATACACTAATATAATTCATAAGGACAGAGAATCACTGAAGTGGAGAGCAACAGCCAAATATTTACTCAGGGCACAAACTACACTGTGAGCAGCTTTTACTGAACTTGATTACACAGAGTGGGAGCTCCTGAATGTGCTGGGCTGTCTGTCTGACTAAACACTAACCACAGGACTCCACCTAAACTCTGGATTAGTTTAGTGGGCCTCAAAACATAAACCACTCTGCAGAAAACTGAATATCTGTGGTCGAGTCAAGGGGAAATAAACAGCAGAAGACAATCCTCTAACGGACTGGAAAAACTGACTGAGAAGATACAAAACAGGTTTTAGAGTTTAAAGTTAATATGTCTGCTTTATGCATCGGTACTTTTACCGTTGTTTAACTATCTATGGAGGAGAAATTCAAATTAATTTATGCCGTTGCGGTTCATTGTTCTGTCCACTTGCGACAACACTGGCAACGGGAGTTGTGCGCGTTCATGAACGATCCTCTCGTTTTTAGGAAGAGGCTCTCTGGTTATATCATTCTGAAGTAATTACAGACTATTCTGAGTTACGACTGGTGCAAAGATAATCTAAAGGCACTCGAGATTAAACATTAAATGGCTGGAAATGAGCAAAATGAGCCATGGGCACTTTAAGGATTTCCAGCAAGAGCACCACCCACCCACATACACACTAAGGCTCATGCATATGCAGCCTCAATGCGTTATGTTAAATGTTTTTACATAACAATTACTAAACATGGTAAAGATAATGCTCTGTATAGTAAACCAGGTTCAGCAATGATAGCGTGCACGGCTGAATTTAATCATTTCTCTAGACGGGCATGGCATATGTTGACCTAACTACCATACTAACCATATGTTTACCATACTAACTATATGTTTTAATGGCCTATCTAGTGATTTTCCTCTTCAAGTCAAAATAAAACCAACAGAGCTGCAAAAGCCACTCACATAAATGGGATAACATTTACAAATTGACAATAATGGCCCTGTAGATTGTTTTATTTTGACTTGGCATGACAGATTCTCTTTTTTGCATAAAGAGTCCTAACTATGGCGGAACAAGCTAAGGCTTGTATTGTAAATAGTTTAGAAAAGAAGAAAAGATGAATTTAAGAGAAATTACATGTAAGGAATAGACAGCTCGGGGCCGTCTTCAGCTCAGGGCTTTGCTTAGTCAATCGCAACATAAGACTAAACTTGATCAGCTTTGATCATAAATGTGGATCAAAAAAGAGGTAAACAATGTTTAACTTGCCATTGTGTCTCTACAGTATAAAATCCAGATGTGTGCGAAGAAGGGCCAGATGTGCCCACCAACAGAACAGTGTTTTAGCTCATCAGCTGAATCCCTCAGTCTGAATATACTTTTAGAAGGGATTTCCCATTTTTGTTATTGGCGGACATGTCTGAAATTCAGGAAACTTGAAAGACACACTGTAATTCAGGAGTAGAGGAAACAGTCACCCTATTACCCAAAACCAAAACCCATTAGATCCACTATCACACTGTTAAATTGTCATTTACATCAGTAAAGTATTTAAATAACGTTTTCAAATGGACCTATAGTGAATTCTGATAAGTAAAACAATACACACAGAATGGTAATTCATGTCCATATTCTAAATGTATACACTGAGACTGACAGTCTGTTATTTCAAGCATCTCAAAACACAGCAGTCAGTCAGTCAGTCAGTCAGTGTCTTGCTAGATGTTGTGCATTATGTTCATGACATCTTTGTGACAGCTGGGATTGGATTAAAGCAATGAAATCAAATGAAGCTAAATTTGATTAGGCTTCATATTTAACATACCAGTCAATTAAAAATGCTCCTATTCTGATCTGTCTAACAAGTTCAGGAGATCCTCTCCTTTTCAAACACTGTACTTAAGATTATATTCACTACTCACCGCCAGAGTGCTCTCCCCTACATTTGATGCTATGAGGCCATCAATAGTTCCGTATTCAGCATCTCGTGACGTCAGTCTCTCCATTTGGTTGTGGTGGATGCGTCTAAATACGAGGATAGCTACAGTGGAGAGAACGATGAGGATGATGATGGGCACCACGATGATGATAGCCAGCGTGGTCACGCTGTAGTTTGGCAGCTCATCAGCTGAGGAGAGAGAAACATTCAAATGACCATTTAGGGTGTCATTCTGCACATTCTTAGAACACACAGTAAAGCTTGATTTTTAAAGATTAAATTAGACTTTTGCCTGTGAGAACACAGAGTACACTGTAGTTGCTGAAGATGGTTGAAGTAAACACCGACAACAGCGTCTATTTGAACTTATAATGATACAAGAGGTGATCGTAATAATACAGCTGAGGGAAAACTCTTCTTTGCTGTAGCTTTTGCTCCGTGACATGCTGATGTCCGACCATAACACAAACCTCTGTTTTGCAGTAGTCTGCAGACCTTCTGAAGAAGGCTGTTAAAGGTGGGGTGCATGCAAGACACATAGGCACACGAGTGTACTCACACATACACACACCCCACAGTGAATCTCAAGTCAGCCTGAGAAACTGACCACCATTCACACTTTCCAAACATTCCAAGGGAAA